TCACCCAGGGCTAATGAGACGGCTGGGCTGGGCCTGAGTCCACTCTGACCTTGTCCTTGTGAGATGCAGGCACAGATGCTCAGAGAAAGGCACAGGTGAATGGGGAGAAGAGGGCTGTCCCCTGTCAAGGAACAAGGCCTTGGCAAACAGACCTTGAGCCTGGCCTTCAGGTGTCAGAGATGGAGAGACAATAACCATGAGTGGCACTTTGCTATGACAACCCGAGCAAATTAACACACCCGCGGATCTCCATCCCCGCCTGTGTGGAAGCCAGCCTGCCACTTTCTGCCCACTCTGAACCTGCAATTGTCCTCAGCATCGTCACATTTTGTTCAGAAAAGATAAACATCGTGTCACCTCTCGTCTCTCACTTGAGTTTCCTTTCCATTTCCAAGCTGATCTATAGTCTGCATGTCGGGCTGTGTTTTCTAAATCTCTAATCACGCTGCACTGGCTGCCACCCCTTACCGTAACTCTTGTCACCTGGCCTGGCTTCTCTAGGGGCAGGATTCCGTCTGTCCTCACAGCGCTGAACCCAGCACCCACCAGGACACTGACAGGAAATCCTGCACTTGCAAAGGCACAGCAAGCTCTGTGTCACCTCTCCCTGATTAGAATGGCCAGCACTGCTAAAATCACAGTGGGTCAGTGATGTGAATGCTGAAACCAAACACTTTACCTGCTGGAACGTAAAATAGGTACAACTCTTGGAGAATAGCTGAGGTGAGCACTTTCTGAACAGAAGCTCAGGGGCACAGGAAAGAGCGACAAGAATCAACAAATGGGATCGTCTCAAATTAAAAAGCTTCTGCACAGGAGAGGAAACAACCCACAGAGTGAAAAGTCAACTTACAAAATAGAAAAAAAAATATTGCAAGCTATTTATCAGGCAGGGGACTGTTGTCTGGAGTGTATAAAGAAGTCACAAAAATGGGGGCTGGGGATTTAGCTCAGCGGCATAAGCACCTGTCTTGCAAGCAGGCAGTCGTGAGTTCGATCCCTGGTACCGATAAAAAAAAAGAAGTCACAAAAATGAGCCCATCCCCCAAAATGAAAGCAAAAAAGGTGGTCACAAAATGGACAAGTGAAATGAATGGACACTTCTCAGAAGAAAAAGTACAGATGGCCAATAAGTACACGAGAACATGTCCAGTGTCTGGTCACGAGAGAAACGCAAATTAAAACAATGCTGAGATTCCATCTTATTCAAAAAACAGTGACTACTGTCAAGAAATCAAATAATAACAAAAACTAAATTGGCTGTGGGCAAAATGAACCCTTCTACGTTGCTGGCGGGATTGTAAACTAGTGTAACCACCATGGAAATCAGAATGGAGATTCCTCAAAAAAATTGCAAATAAAAGTTCCACTTGACCAGCCTGTGCCCTTTCTAGGCATCTTCCTGAAAGAGTTACAGAGACCACATTATAGAGACACACGCACAGCCATGGCTGTAAGAGCTAAGTCTTGGGAGCAGCCTAGCTGTATTCTACCCAATGAAGTATTACTTCACTGTAAAGAAAGATAAACTTGAGTCATTGTAGGAAAACAGATGCAATGAAATAAATCAGACACACAAGCTTAAATATTACGTGATTGCTCTCACACAACTCAACATATAAGTAAAGAGCAAAATAAGAGATTAGTGATAGGAAGTAGAGACTCAGATCTTTTTAAATAGGACAGAGGTCAGTAGATGGAGGGACGGAGAAAGGGGAAGAAGGAACTGAGATGTGTCATGTACATGTACCAACCCCCAACAAGGAAAAAAGTTACTGTGGAATGAAAATGTAACCCCAGCACTCAGGAGGCTGAGGCGGCAGGACTGCCATGAGTTTGAGGCCAGCCTGAACTCCACAGTGAGAGCATGTCTCAAAAAAGCAAGCACGCACTAATAAAAAGTAAAAACTGGGAGTGGCAGAGGAATGGCCATCACCAAGACTAAAAAAAGGCCAAAAAGGTGGGGACAAAGGACAACTCTCCTACACTGTTGGTGGGAATGGAAATCAGTAAAGCCATTGTGGGAAATAGTATTTTCATACCATTCCTCAAAAAAAAAAAAAAAAAAAAAGAAAAAGAAATGAAAATGAAACTGTTGGAGGATCCAGCAACCCCCACTAAGTACATATCCAAAGAAACTGCGATCAGAAATGACTGTATTCTCATGTTAGATGAATGGAGACAAAAAGCAGGGCGTGTGCACCACAGAGTATTATACAGCCATGAGAAGACCATGAAATCCTGCCTTCCACAGCCACATGGACAGAGCCAAAGGACATCCAGCACTCCCTGTTCTCACTCAAAAGCTTAAAAGGTGACCTTGACTGTGTATCTGTAGTTCCACCTACTTGGGGAGCTGAGACAGGAGAATAACTTGAACCCAGGATTTTTGAGACCAACCTGGGCAACATAGCAAGAGCGTATCTTAAAAAACAAAGCCACAGAAGCAGAGAACAGAGCAGTGGTTGTGAGAGGCGGGGAGGAGGAGAGGACGTGAGGATAGAGGAGGAGGATTAACAGGCAAAGTTAATTGGCAGAAGGTTAAGTCCTGGTGCTCTGTAGCCCGGTGAGCAATCATCTACTGTATTTTTAAAGGACTAGAAGACATGGTTTGAATGTCCCCAGTATAAAGAGCTGATAAAAGTTTAAGGGGCTGGTTATCATAATTACCGTGACGGGTTGTTTCACGTACCACACCATCCCCAGAAAACTGTGCATTTGTTATGTGCCAGTTAACAGCTGTGTGGTACAGCACTCGCCTACCACACAAGAGGCGGGGGCTGCGTCCTCAGCACCAAAGGAAAAAACCAAAGTCAGGAGCCCGCTTGTCACTGTTACTAACCCTCCAGAGTTCAAAAGCCCTTCCATATTTTCTTGTACAGATGTAGAGAAGTGTGTCTGTTCTCAAAGTCCACTTGAGTTCGACTTAAAAGTGTTTTAAGCTATTAAGCGGGTTTGCCGTTTTTGGAAATCAGAGGCAGCGTCTCCAGCCGAGACCCAGCCCTGCGGTTCCTAAGGAGGCAGCTAGAGGTGGTGCCCAGGCCTTCCTTCCAGGGCAGCAATCCTGGTGGCTGCACCTGGAAGGAAAACCCTGGAGACCCCAGTGGGCTGCCAGCTGGAAGCCTCCCCTGCTTGGCTTCACCTTGGATGAGGAGCTGAGGCTTCCTGGCGCCTCCACGCTCCCCTGGGGGAGTCTAATGCTTGCAGCCCCCTGGGGGAATAACCATCTCCCTCTGCAGCAGGGGAAGTAACTCGGGGCAGCTTCCTCCTGACTCTTCTAATGAAGGCCTCTGGCGATCAGCAAAGCAGAAGTCACCATGACAGGAAAGCATGGAGCCCCCAGAGACTGTCACCCAGCAGCAGGGTGCCCGGAGAGGCCTTTACGCTGTTGCCTGCCTCCGGTCCCAGAGCTCCGGTGGGCCTGAGCCTACAGCTTCATCAGTACCAGAAGCGCAACCAAGTCCCCAGGCTCCACACCTCCTGTAGAAACCTGGAAGAAGGGGGCTGGGGATTTAGCTCAACAGAAGTTGAGAGACTTTTCCTCCTGCTGCTTCTGTCCTTCGACTGCACAGGAGGAGAAGAAGCACTCAGCTACCAGAAAATTCTTGAAACAACCAGGGTTGAGGTCATTTACCAATGTAACAAAAGACAGACACTCAGCTAAAACAAAACTGAGGGGGCTGGAGCTTCTGGTGGCTCCAGGGAGGTCTCTGCCTTGGGATCCCCCTTTGTCCTGTAACTTTGCAGTCTCCACCCAAACTGGCAGGGGCAGCAGGGGCAACAGGGACAACAGAATGCCTGCCTTACCCCAAGGCCTCAAGAGTGCATGTAACAGAACCCTCTGATTTCTGAGATAAGGGCTTCGGTTGTTTTTTATTTAAAAAAAAAAAAAAGTTGGAACCAGAATTGATATGGTAGCTTCAGAATTGTGGGGATTTGGAATCTTTCCATTTTTATACACCATCAACTTTAGCTATGACTTTCATCCTAAAGTTGTCTCAGGAGCCAAACAGCTGCTAGAGCTCCAGCCATCACGTTTGTATTCCATGAAGGCAGCCACAGAAGCTTCTCCTAGCTGAGTTGGCTCCCTTTAAAAGAGCTTATCTAGATGCTCCACCCAAAGACTAGATAGCTTGAGTCTTAGTTATTACTTTGAGTTATGTAGGACAGGAAATTGCCTCGTAGATTAAAATCAAGAGAGGGACAGGGCATCAAGCAGCTGACCTGAAAAGCCTGTCTCCACCTGTGGGAAGTCTGTCTCTTGACACATCAGGGTGTGAAACTGCCCCCAGGGCTCGCAATGGACATGCATGTCCCGCAGGAAGAATAGGTAGCCTCAGAGAGAAGTCAGTCACACCTTCTGCCGGGAACATAGCCGGGAGGGAGTTTTCTTCTCAGGACTTGAGGCTCACACTTGGCCTTGATCACAATTCCCATCACATCACCTCCACTGCCCGAAGGCCCTCAGTGCAGTGGAGTCCTGCGCCCACCGTATAACCATCAGCCCAGTCGCCCTGAAGACTACTTCCATGGTGTGGGAAAGAAACCTTCCAGCTGAGCTCAGGCCAGAGAAGGCTGTTACCCCTCCACCCATTCCCGGGGCCACCAAAAGAACAGCCCTGCCATGGGAACGCAAGTTTGTGCTGCTGACATCTCCGAGCTGGGGCGACCTGTGTGCTGCAGGGGGAATGGGCAGGGCCGGGGGCGAGGGGCACCGCGTCCTCCACAGCTCCCCAGCCTCCTGTCCAGGAGGCACAGGAGCAACGTGGACGCTGACAAGGGCTCCCTAGGGTGTGTGTGTGGGGGGGGACACAGCACTAACACCAGCCTCCCTGCTCCACTCCTGAGGTATTGGGGCTGGGGACCCATTTCACAGAGGGAGGCCTGAGCTCCCAGAGAGAAGTCTGTGGCGCTCAGAGTTCTCCCGCTGCCCCACACCGAGGGCACCTGTCCTGATGCGGACCTCAGCAGGTGCAGCCGCCCCCAGCTGGGACCTGGCGCTGCCGCCTGTGGGGCTGTGACACTGGGACCGGGACTTGGCCGGGCTTAGCCCTGGGCTTCCAGCGCCGGTGGGAGCTTGCCATGAGCGCCCCCTCCTTCCTGCCTGCTGCCCGCCCTCCCCTCCTCATGCAAAAGGTTGCTCAAGGCGACTCAAGGATTTGGGGTCTGCCTGGTCACGTAGCCGGGAGTGCTTTTTAGCTGAGCACCTCGCCAGAGTTCCTGCAGAGCTCACAGAGCCTCGGGAAGCAGCAGGGAGGAGGCTGCGGGATCCTGGCTACACCGAGCCCAGGTGAAGCAGGCGTCAGGCTGGACGGATGGGGAGGGCGGCGTGTCACGGGTCTGGTGGCAGAGCCAGCAGCAGGGGGGTGGGGGGACAGCCTGGCCGGGCTGGAGGTGCTGCCGTTCGGGGGCTGGAAGGGTCAGCGTGTGCATGTGTCATCGAGGTAGGAGGCTACAAAGGGAAGAGGAGGGCTGTGCGTGGGGGGAGGATATATATCCCGGTGCGGTGTGGCTGCCACGGAGGACGGAACCTCACATCCCAGGCAGCCGGGAGCGACAGCCAGCGCCCAGGTAGGAGCCGCCTGCGACCCAACCCGCCGTGACTAAAGCCTGCCTGGGAGAGTGGAGCAGCCCAGCTGGGCTCTCCGCCCCGTCCTTTGTCCAGCCTGCCTGCTGCTGGCCTCTCCTGAGATGATTTCTTCATTTATCTTATTTTCAGTGCTGGGATGGTGGAGAAGGGGGAGGGCTGAGAGGGTTTTGTTGTTTTTGGGTTTTGGTTTTTGGTTGTTTCTACCACAGAGACAGATGCAAAAGGAAAAAGAAAAACTGAACTTGGAAATGAGGAAAAGTTTTGCTTCCCGGGCTGTGGTCCCTTACTTGGTGGCTGCTCTCCCGGGGAGGCACTGGGCCCCCAGGAACGGGGTCAGGCCAGGAGCAGGCACGGGAGGGGCTTTTGTTTCAGGGAGGGCTGTCTTTCTGCTGTTTGTCCTGCTCTGGTGCGTGCAGGCTGCTTCCCCCTGTTCCACTGAACTTGATGCCGCTCGAGGTTTGGGGTTTTTACCTGGGGGGGGCCCTCTCCCTTTCCTCCCTGAGTAAACATTGCTACTAACATGGGACCTGTGCTCCACCTGTACACGCCGCCTAATGCTGACAGACTCGTGGCGTGGGTCTCATGGAGAATTTCCACGGGCATGACCTTGGTCTCCCAGACCCTGATGGCTCTGGAGTTTCCTTCCTCTCTTGGCATTTCTTCCCCACAGCTGGTCTTTCTCCCATCTAATGGTCTCTGGCCGGGTCTCATGAGAGACTCCATTGGGAAATCGCAGCATCTAAACTCTGGACGGCACTGCCTCCTCCTCTTCCTCCTCCTCCTCCTATCTGCGTGTCTCTGCTCTGCCCGTCTGGCTCCCCTCTCCTCCGCTCCCTGTGTCCCCTCCCTGTCTCACTCCCAATGTGAGCAAGTTCTGGTGGAATTTCAAGTAAGGCAGGATGGTTCGGGAAAGAGACTATTTCAAGCGAGCTGCTTTGGGCTTGAATACCCTGATCTGGGGCTGAAACATCTGTGTTTAGCTCCTCAAGCAGCCCATAATTGCCCCAATTATAACCAATAACATTGTTCGGCAGGCTAACAAAAGATGAGCTCCGCACGGCTTTTGCCAGTGAGTCCAAACCAGAGTCCTCAACCAGAAGGTAGAAAAAAAAGTAACAGCCTGGCTCCTTATCAAAATCTCCTAAAGAAAATATTGCTCTTTCTCTCTGCCTGTGGGTGTCTGCTGCGTGCGCTCTCCTTCCCAAAGCACGGCAGGGAAATTTTCTACAAGCTCCCCCATGCCATGATACCTTTAACAGACAGGATTCGTGTTCCTTGGGCTTGCTGAGTCTCCTCAGGAGCAAGTGTCCAAACGCCCCCTTTCAGTCAGAGCAGCAGCTTCTGCCTCACCCTGGGCTTCCTGTGCCACCTATCCAGCCTACTGTGTTGCAACCTGGGGTATTCTTTTTGGGGGTGCAGCTTTGTTCTTCCAGGGGTAGCATCCCTTGCTTTATCAGCTGAAGACAGGGATTTAGACAACCACAGCAGGTTTTGCATTGCCAATGAAGGGAGTAATTGCAGAATTAGGGGCAAATGGGAACTGTCACCAAGCTGTTTCATCTTCAATCAATCCGGTATTTATCAGCTACACTACACCAGGGCTCCAGACATTCAACAGAGGTGATAATAACAGCACTTGAGTTGTGGCAGTGATTTAGGCACTTTCACACCCATTATCCCAGCAACAGGGAGCAGGGAGCATGATTACCTCCAAGTTGGGTTGAGGCCAAAGCCGAGGGCCTCAGTGATTTGTTCCATGCACCGCAGAGACAGGACAGACTGCTGCTGTCAGGGCTCCGGCCAGTGTACCCCTTTCAGTCAGGGTGCTTAGAAACTAATACTGGGACCCAGCACGAACACCCATGAAAGGATCAGAAGGCAGCACAAGGCTAGTTGTGATTAAACTTCACAGCCCACAGAGCAGGTGCCGGGGGAATTTGGGGAAGGGGCAGTTCCTCCAGGAGGCTGGGAATTGAAGCCCAGTGAGGAGAGAGCTAGAATCCGGATGAGTGAAGGGCTTTCAAGAGCAGGAGTGTACAGCTCATTCACACTCAGATCAGTGGATTTGTGATCCTTCTCTCCCCAACTCTCCTGTTTCCCAAACCCACAAAGGACCTTTCAATTTTCCTGTGTTCTGGGTAAGGGTGGAGCTGCCCATGAGGGACCTCTGGAGAGGAACAGGTCTTCCCCCAGGAAAGAGGGGTCATCGTGCCAGTAGCTTGGAGAGGCTCAAAGTGCTGAGAACTCATTGACACGCTGGATTTTCCAACCACCTTTGTTGAGATGCCTACAGTCGCACCCATGAGCCAATATAAATGCTTCTTTCTAGTCACAAACTAACAGAGATTTGGGTGGCAAGGTGATTTTCTGGGCATCTCCCTCAACAGACTGTGATCACTTCCATTCTCGATTTTCTGAGATTCTGTGGCTTTTCAGAATCCACGCAGCTGCTTCAGCATCACAGAAGCGCAGGCTCCAGTGGTGGCTGACGCGCCCAGTCTGACTCGGCGCTGCCAGCTGCCACCCAGGGTGGCTCGGAGCCAAGCCGGCTGTGCGCACGCTGATCCTGCCACCTCTGCGTCCATTCATCCTCTCATTCATCCAGCCAGGAACGTGTGTGGAGTTCCTGATGGAGCTGCACAGTGCCAGGGCCAGGGCTAGAGACACAGCAGGCAGAGCCCTTGGCTGGCTGCGTGTTCTTGGTCAATGTCACCACCAAACCAAAAGCTCAGGGCAGTGTCCTGCGGGGGGAAGCCTGCCTAGCCACCTACCAGGACTTCTGGACATTGAGACTTTTATTTTATACTCTTACCCCTCCTAATGTGTACTTTAGCAGATTTTATAATGTATAATAATGTAAGTAAATAAATTGAGAGCATGTACTAAAACTGATTGCTAAGCCAGCCATGCGGTATGGCTGTAATCCCCGCACTACAGGAAGCTGAGGCAAGAGGGCCACAAGTCCCTGTCTCAAAGTGAAAAATAAAAATTATTTAGTTCAAAATAGCTAGGCAAAGGACTTTGAATGTTCTCACACAAAGGGAGGATAAAGGTTTGAGGTGAGGGATATGCCAATGACCTCAATCTGTCAGGCATCATATCCAGGGTGCCACAGTGTACCCTATAAATATGTACAATTATTATGTCAATTAAATGTTATTTTAAAAAAAACTGTAGAGGTACAGAGTTAAGGCAGGTTGGAGATTATTGGTCTATATCCATTGCTCTATTGTCTGTATTTTCTTATCTTTTTGAAAAGAACACTGGGTGATTTTATAAAAGCGAATAAAGGCTTTTAAAAGTCTATTTCCATTACCTTGGCAGTATTTGGGGAGCATCTGCCTATGTGACAGTTAAGCATCTCCCTCCACACTGTGGCACCCGGAGACCCCCCCTGAAGCCCCACTGCATGAAGTCCCCTTCTCTCCCCGCTTCCTTTACCCAGAGAGGACAGATATTCACCTGAAGCATATTAACTGTCTAATCCAGCTGCCTTTACAAAAGAAGAGACTGAGGCTTAGAGAAAGAGGAGGCCTTGCTGAGGTCCCGCAGGTAACGAAACTCTAGAACCCAGGGCCCAGGTCTCCCCGCACCCAGCTTCTGCTCATTCGTGGCAGCCCAGGCCTGAGTAGGGCAGGTGGTCCCATGCCCTGCCTGCTGTGTGCCACTCCCCTCTTTCCAGGTGGAGACACAGCAGAGCAGAGACCTTTGTGAGAGCGAATGTATCCATCGGAGGAGGAAACAAATGGGAAGCAGCCTCCCTCGGAGACAGTTGGTAAAGACGCCAAACTGCACGCGGGAGTCCTTCTGCAGTGGGTTCCAGGACCCTGCTTCCCCCCCTTGATGGGCCACTGCTGGGCCACGACAGTTCCTCCCTGGACCCAGGAGAGGGACAGCTGAGAGGCTGTGATCTGAGAGGCAGGCCCAGAACCTGGGGTCACAGGAGGTCACTTAGAGTTTCACCTACATGGCCACAGACTGTTAGGAGGAAAGCTTGGGACAGGAGCTGGGGGATCGGAAAGCATTGCTCCCTCCTGTTCTGTGTCTTTGTCAGGGCTCAATTTCCTCACCTGTAAAATGGGGTGATCCCAAAGGGTGCTCATGAAATCACCGGCACCAGGCCTGCCATGGTAGTTACGGAATTACCTTTAAACTCAGTTCCCCTTCTAAGATTCCACCAGAATTTGCCACACTTCCCAAAGCAGAAACAGTGTACGGGGTTTACAATTGCCCAGAACTCACGATTTGAAGTCCAAACACCTTAGTTAAAGCCTTGGCTCTGCTATTTATTAACTGGATGATCTCAGGCAAGTTGCCAGATCTCCATGAGGTTGTGATTATCACGGAAAGGGGGTAAAATTAACTCCAGGTTATCGGGATGGATGTGAATATACCCAACATCTGTAACCTGCACAGGACAATATTCCCTGCATATAATTGACAAAAGGGGGATATGTATGCTTCTGTCAGCAGGGAGGCCTCCTTTCCCTCCACCAGCAAAAGTACTGAAATTGCAGGTTTCCTCCTAGGTCGTGAAACTGCCAGGATTTGCTGCGGCTGAAGGTGCATACGTAATCCTCAAACAGAAAAGCAACTAATTTTATTGCCCCAGGAAGCAAGAGTGCATGCAAGTAGATTAAGGTTAAATCAGAGGAGTATTTGATCTTTATAAACAGAGAGACGCAATCAAGTTTATGAGCTGTCATTACCTATATAAAAGGTAATTGAACATTTCTGAATTCAATACAAAATGCCCTGATTATGCTGCTGCCACACTGAAAGCTTAGCTGAGCTTGGCTCATAGATGAAACCCAAACCATATGAAATTCAAACAGACTCAGGCATATTATAGTTACTAATGGTCATTTGCTGACTAATACATAAACAGGGAAAAAATCCTGTCTTCATCACCATTTTGCAGTTGAGAACACTGAGGCACTCAGAGATGAAGTAAGTCACTTGCAGTCATAGGATAACTCACGAATTAGCAAACCACTGATTCTCATGCTAATGACCTCAGTGTTTGAACCAAGCTTCAAACCGCTGTGTAGATATAGTTATGATTTCTTAAAAATTAAAGATTTTCGGAGGATGTGGCTCCATGGTAGAGCACTTGTTTGGCATGCGTGAGGCCCTGGGTTCAGTCCTCAGTGCTGAGGGAAAATGCAACTTTCTACTACGTTTCCGAAGTTTAAAATCAAATATATCACAGCACAAATATATTGTGCTGGGTGCTCTGAGGAGTACAAAGTTACAAAATGCCAACTTTCCCATGGCACTTCTGTATATTTTGAGTTTCTACAGAGTAACCGTCCCATTTGAAGATGGCGAGCCACCTGTGACATGGGACTGCATGGCCATTCCACGCTGTGGGTTCTCTGAATTGCAGGGGAAAAGGAGTAGCGTCAAGGCTAGAAGGCCTCTAAATAACAGGGGAATCCACGTGCTAAAAGTGAGGGTAAAAATAAAGGGTAAAGCACACAGGAGACAGATCTTTTGCAGATGAAAGGGGGACCAAGAGATGGAAGGAATAGAAAAAGAGGGGAGCGGAGGGGACCTAAAAAAGGTTAAAGTGTGTGATGTGGATAGGCCAGTCCCCAGCAACGAACGCAATCATTACGTACAGCAAACGTGGACTGATGCAATTAAAAACCGAGATTACATCTGAGTGGTTTTGGGAGCCTGGACAAGAGGTGACTCTCAGGCCCCAGGCAGGGCCTGGTGAACACCCAGTAGATCTGATGCGTTGTCCCCAAAATCCACACAGAGGGGCCTTGTGTTTTCCATGCAGCTGGCTACACAATGGAGTGCACACCCATGTCCGGGACCTCCTCGCCTGGCTTCTCCCTGCTCCTCAATTCTGTTTACCCCAAGTTTGAGGTAACAAAAATCAAAGCACCCATCGCCTTCCTCGGTGGCCCCCAGTTAATGACCCTCAGGAAAAGCCTCAGCGGGAGGCAGTTCATTAGCATCCTCAGCAACTTTTCAGCTCAGCTTTTGCGCACAGGGTGCGCTGCTGCAAGCTCCTGTTAGGAGGCAGAACCAACTCGGTCTGGGTCAACCCTTTCTTCTGCGACATTCAGTCACTGCCATCCAGTGGCTGTGGAGGACACAGCCATGCCTTGGCAGACAAACTACAAAGATGTCTCCTGCCTAGAAAGAGGAAAAGTGAACAGAAAAAGAAATATAAAGGCACTTCTCAAATTAAACAAAGGCAGGGTTTAGGCAGCTCTCGGTTTAAGACTTGCTTGTATTCTAGAGTATTTGTGCACCTACAATGGCTGTTTGGGATGTGAGATATATTTTAACTTCAGAAGAAAAGCTTCCTGGGTTTGTCTATCAACTCCTATTTTACCTGCACAGGCTAAGCACTGAGCCTCATCCGAGCTGTGCCTAGTGGCTTTGTGTAGCCAGTCTTCTACCAGACATGCACTGGAGTCCCCGCTTCGGATGGCACGAGTCCAAGAGTGAAGCATAGTGTGCCCAGTGCTATGGTGTGGGTGCTGTGTGCTGGGCTCACTTCCTTACAGAAAGGGTTCGTTATGCATTGGGTGTTAGTCTGACTGCTTGCAAACCCAAACCCACTAATAATTGTTCCATGAGGTCGGTGTTAGCATTCTCCCAGTTTTACAGGTGAGGCACTGCAAGATTAAGTACAGCTAGCAAGTTGCAAGATTGAGATCCAAACTCAGGAGTCCTCCACTGAGGACGTGAGAAAGCACACGTCACACAACTCTGCAGCGTTGGTAGTTGGGGGGAGCTGTGTTGCATGTGTAGCACCCAAGGCTGGCTCACTTCCCACTGTGACATCATCTCGAGATGCCAGAGCAGCAGATAGGTGGAGCTCAGATCAAAAGTAGGCAATGGCTTTCCCGAGGTGACCCCTTCTTGATGTGTGTGTGAGTTCAAGAGGGTGCTGTGGGCAGAGAGAATGGCCAGTCCCGAGCCGTGAAGACACTCAGACTCTGATGTGGCTGGAAACTGTTATTTCCTGGGACCAGAATGACACCAGAGGGTGTGACAGGTGAAGCAGGAGCCAGTGCTCAGCCAAGTCCTTGGAACTCCTCCTGATAGCCTTGGATGTTCTAAAATTATTTTAAATAGGAAGTGACATCATCAGATTTGGAGATGGCTTGGAGGGAAGCCAGATCATTAGGTGGACTAATTGGGAAGCTATTACAGCAACAAGACAATAAATTTCCACTAAGACGCTGGGGTTTGGGAAAATGAAGAAGAAATTGCATTTGGGATACATCCATGGATATAGATGTGGGTGTTCATTCTTTGTTAGCATGAGACACCCCATAGCTGAAGGATAAAGGGCAGACTCTCAGGAGGGTGAGCAAGACCTGTTCCATCTGGACTGAGCACCACTTGCAGCAGGTGCAAGCCTCAGGAAGTGGGCAGGAGACCCGAGAGGCCTCTGCCTGCTCACCAGCACCTCCCACAGGTTACCACCCGACTCCCTGGTGCTTTTGAAAGTGCAGCTTCCTGGGTCTCCAGGTGGGACCCTCTAAGCAAACTCTTACTCATTTTCAACACCAACTTCAAATGTCAACCCACAGACTTCACTATTTACCAAGCACCTTAATGGTTACCGTCGTCGTGGTCTGAAATGCTCTGAAACGCTCCCATGATGTGGCCATTGGTGACCTCAGCTGCGGGTGCCCCCCTTCTCCTGTTGACTGACTCCTCTTCACACTCTTCTCACTTCTGCACCTCTCAGACTCTGCCACGTGTAGAAGTCACCTCAAAATCTTGCTGACCACACAGGGCCTGAGTCAGTGGGTTTGGGGTGAGGCTCTAGAGTCTACATTTCCCCCACGACTGCGGCAGCTCTGCAGACTACACTTGAATCGCATGACCCCATAAGTTTTCTCAGGGTGCCCCAATGAAAAAGCAATAAGTAAACTATCTTTGTTTTCTATGCTCAACTCTTTATAAGGGAAAAGTGAACTTAAATATACAATCTAATGTATTTAGACAAATGTATATACCCCTATGACCTCCACTGAGAATGTTTCTAAAAACTTCCCTTGTTCCCTTGTCCATTTAATCTTCCAAGTAAAGATGGCTCGTCTGGGATCCAGAAGGATGTAGTCTGAGGAATTATCTTTTTGATTCAAGAAATTTGATCCAAGGAGAGTTTGAAAGAGGAACAAAAGAAATTATTCCCATCTTTCAGGCAATCCTGTGTACAAAATCTACTGGTCTAACTAATTGTTGGTGCTGCTATCTTAGAATAGTTTCTTTGTTCTGTTTTCTATAAATAATTCCATAGACCAGACTGTGTGCTTGACATGGGATGGGCAAATATCCAGCATGACCCTGTGCTCTGGAAACCAACTCTCTGTAGTCATCTTGGCTGCAATGTATCGTTCACAGTTCTGGAGGCTAGAAAAATCTGCGATTAAGATGCCATGTGATCTGCCGTCTCAGAACCCCATGCCCTGGTTTATAAACAGCAACTTCTTGCTGTGTCCTCACATGCTGGCTGGGACTATCTAGTGCTCATGAACCTCTTTGCTATTCTGTTACCTAGGTGCCCCCACCCCAGGCCTCACCTCTGACACGATCACAGTAGGGTTTAGGATTTCAACCTGTGGACTTTGGAAAGACACAGCACTCAGCCCATCACACAGATTTTGGGGAATTGTGCATCCCTGGCTGGACTAGGGCAGGCTGGGGTGCATCGTGAAAAACTTGGTCATTAGTAAATCTCAGATGTTGCTCACCATACTCTTGCCTAGCACTTTGCAAAACCCCCTTTCCAATCTCATTTCATCTCCATAACAGAACTATGACAAGGCAGGTACCACTGTCCCCTTTCATGGTGACGGAAATTCAGGTTTGTAGAGGTTGACTTAGCATCACACTGGTCAGCGGCAAAGTGACATCTGTGCTCTCAGAAAACCTATCTCTGCACCTCACAGCTGCTTGCAGAATGGGGGTGAGGTCAGCAGAATGCAGGAATCAAGGCATCCTCCCAGGACCTAGCCCCGAGTCCCTACTGGAGTTTATTCCTGGGGACAGGACCAGGCCACTTGCACCCTGTGAATCTGCTCCTTGCAGGAAGGTTGTCCTGCATCCCCCAAATGGCTAGAATAATCACCATGCATCCGTCTGTGTGTTTCAGCACCTTGCTGCCTGGCCCTGCACCATGAAGATCCTGCTCTGTGACTTCCTGCTGCTCAGCCTCCTCGCCAGCGTCTTCAGCAGCTGTCCCAGGGACTGCCTCACCTGCCAGGCGAGGCTGCACACAGCTGCAAACAGCTTCAACCTGGAGGTAGGTCCTCCTCGCTCCCCACCAAACTGCACCCTGAGTGAGAAACTCCATCCTCTTCCAGGGTCTCCTGCTCTGGAAACCGATGTGAACCTGAAATGCATCTTTCAACCCAGAATCCTGGGATATTTTACCACCTTCTAACAAAGACCTGCCCACCCTGCCTTGTCATTCACAGTATTAAAATAATGCTTCTTAGCTTCCAGGAATGGCAGTGCACAACTGGAATCCCAGCAGTCTGGGAGGCTGAGGCAGGAGGATCACCAAGTTTGAGCTTAGCCTGAGCATTTTAGCAACTTAGTGTGACTCTGTCTTCAAATAAAAGATAAAGAAGGTTGGGGTATTGCTCTGTGTAAAGTCCTGGGTTCTATTTCCAGTACAACAAAAATAAGTAAATACATAAGCAACAAAATAAAAGCATCTTTAATCCCAGCAATCAAAGAAAGAATCCTACTTCCTCCTCTTACTAGAAATCCAGGGTAATCTTCCCGTGTTACCACATCCTTTGAAGTTCTTTCTTCCATGACTGTGGCATTGCCTTCTTTGCCATTGCCCATCTGCTGAGCATGTGTGGTGCCCTCCATTTTTGACACTGCCAGTAGCCTACAGGCACCCAAGACGCACTCTTGTGTTTTAAATTTCCAACTTGAGGTGCAAATCCAGCATTAAATCTTTCACTTTCAGCATAGTTAGCCCTAGTACAATTCAATGCTTTTCTCCCTTTGAAGTGACTTCTTCCAAGAGGCCACATGTCAAACCCCTCTGTCTTTCAAAACAACCAAAGCAGCTACCGTTCCCTGGAGAACAGAGAACACAGTGACCATGTTGGGTGAGCCACCACCATGTCTCCGGGCTCTAGGGAGTGGTGAGCAGCTCATAGCAACCAATGCAAATCAAGGTCATCTGGTCCTCTTTCTGGTCCCCTGGGCTCTCCTCCGCAGACCTGTCCTGACCTCTCTTGGTTCCCTTGCCTGGTTCCCAGGGCTCTTACTCCTTCCCTCTAGCCCCTCTTTTCCAGCCTACTTTGGCTGCTTTTCCTCTCTGTCCCCACTAAACAATCAGAGAGACCCTACTTCTAGCCTGGTGTGATGGCATAACCCTGTAATCCTAGCACTCTGGGAGGCTGAGGCAGGAGAATCATGAGTTCAAAATCAGCTTAGCCCAGAGCCTGTCTCAAAAGAAAAACTAAAAGAAGGGCTGAGAGCAGCACCGTGCAAGGACTTTGGGTATAAACCCCAGTGTCACAAAGAGAGAGAAAGAGAGAAATTCCCTGTTTCATCTCCCCGCCCCACTTTTCTCCCTCTGGGATCCCATGCACTCCAGCCTTCACTCCTCCAAGCTGGTAACTCCCAAAGCTGTGCCCCTGACCGCCTCTCTCTGGCCTCAGACCCACATTCCCAGTCACCTTCCACAGCTCCCAGGAAATGCCACCTTCCTCCCGCCCAGCCCTCCAGCCCATGCCCGAGTCTTGTCTCCAACTGGCTCACACTTTAAAGTCCAGACTCACTTTCACCTGCTAAGACGGTGACAAACAGCTGGCATTGTAACGTGTGCCATCGGTTCGCTGCCACTGTCCTAGACCGCTTTGCTGATGCATGATGGCAAAGTCAGGATGAAGCAGGGCTTTCATCCAGCAATGGCAGAAGTTTCCAGGAGACCCGACCAGAGACAGAAAGGCAGGAGAAAGTGGCCATAGTCAGACCAGTCAAGAGAAGCTGGGGAAGTGCCAGGGCAACGCTGGTGGTCCCCATTGTCGGCCAAGGGAAGCAGAGCCACAGCAGAGAGCTCCTGGTGGGAGACAGGAGCCCCCTTCCCCACCTGGAAGTGACTGAAAGCGTAGCCTGCGTGCCCAAGCTCCCTACATCCCCAAGGCCCTTGACCCTGATAGCTAGTGTATACATATGACTGAAAAATACAGTGCATGCTTACACTTTGTAAAAAAAGTTATTACAGTCAAAGACATTACCATGAATCCCCCTCAAATTCTCCCACTTGCTTCAAACATACTTATCCCACCAGACTCACCAGTTTCGGAAGCAGTTCTGAAGTCCTCTTTCATGTCTTCTGTTGTGCTTATGTCGCTGCATCAGCATCCTGAATTGGTTCACAATGTTTACCCTTCATGGCCATTTTGACTTTGAGGAAAAGCCAGAGGTCACACGTATCAGATTCGGTGAATGAGGTGGATGAGGACTCTCCGTGCATAATACTTTTACAAACCTGCCTTTCTGCTGGATGGCACTCAGCGGCAACATTCACTGTAGGGTTTTTTTGTTTTTGTTTTTGTTTTTTTATCATACCTCATAAAGATCCCAAAGAGGACTTGCAGAACTGCTTCAGGAAGTGGCAAGCATGGCAGAATAAGCGAGGGGGATCATGGCCATGTGTCTTTTATGATAACAAATTTTAAAAGTAAACATTCACCATCCATTCAATGACCCCGGCCTGTAGAAAGAAACATACCACTGCCAACCTCCTTTACAAAGTGACCTTCAAAAATAGGGGCTGGGGATTTAGCTCAGAGGCATAAGCCCCCGCCTTGCAAGCACTCAGTCCTGAGTTATCCCCAGTACCGACTTTCTCCAGGCCTGATAAGAGAATGAAATAAAATTCTCTCTGGATGATGCTCAGGAGCTGTGTTTTGCCCCAAAATCTACTCCAGCGTTTCCTGGCTGTGCATGGCACCTGCTGGCCTATCTCACCACACGCATAAGCATCCTTAGCTGACCAATCAGAGTGCTTAGTGTAGGGCACGGAGGCCAGTGCTCCGCAGTGCTCCATGAACACACTTGTGGATTCAGTAAGATTCTAAGATCGTCTGTCTCCTACCGGGTACATCTGCCACAGCCAGGAAAGGGTTTTTATGTCTGCATCTTGCAGAAGCAGTAGAGAGCTTGAAGCATATTTCTTTCTCTCCAGTGCATCTCGGATTTGGGCAGTCAAGAAAATATGCACAGCTTCACTTCTTTGAAACAAGTCAATACACAGACCTGAAAAGGCTCCCGTGGCCATGCTTCCTCCTTGTTTTGGTTGCTATTTTTTTTACTTACATTTAACTATTTTTTTAAGTTTATTGAAATGCCAAGAATGTAAGCAATCAGCCAGCCAGGCATGCCAGCACATTCCTGTAATCCCAGAACTGGGGAGGCTGAGGCAGGGGGATTGCTGTGAGTTCAAGACCAGCCTGGACTACCCAGTGAGTTCAAAGGCCTGAATTGCATAGCGAGACTCTGTCTCAAAAAGACCAAAAAAAAAAAAAAAAAGAATATAAGCAATCACATCACACTTCCAAATCTGGCAAGCTTTGCATATGTCTACTCTGTGAATGACAGGGGAGGCTCATGTCTCCCCACTAGATGACATAATCCTGAGCTCTTGCAGGATCCTCTGGACGGTTGGCTTCAGAGAGAATTTTTCTATTTACGCTCCTGGTGGGTGCTTGGCTTTCTGTTAGACCATAGTCTTGATTGATAAATGATTCACATATCCATACCCACTGCAACGGCCTGGCCTTCACCTGTTTGTAATGAATTCTTCCTCACCCATTCAAATAGGAGAAAGCCAGATTCACTGAGTTGTTTAAGCGACAAAGAATAAGACAGCAAACCCCCAAAAAACTGTCTGGGAAATACGTTTGAAACTTACTATAAAAGAATTCTCTATTCTCTTGCAAAAGAAACTGTTTTCATCCTTCATTAAAGGTAATGCAGTACAAGCATTTCCTGTGGTTTTCCTCGGCGCTGTAGCTCTTGGCGCCCCCTAGTGCCAACCCTCGAAGATTCTAGTTGCACCTCTTGGAGCAGAGAGCTTCCCAAGGTCCCCCAGCCACAGCCCTTGGACTCTCTTGGCAGAACTAGACCATCTCAGTGACTTTCTTTTTCTCTCTCCAAAGGGATCACGTGCCTGATCCCCTCTTTGTCCCCTAATCTCTTTCTTTCTTTTTTTTTTTCCTGATGATGAGCCACTGTCTAGCACATGCTGGGCGAGCGCTCTGCCACCCAACCGCACCCCACACCCTAATCTTCCATCCAGACACTCAAATGGCCCTTTGCTCAGCCTCCTCACAAGCTCAACTTCCCAGATCAATTTGGCACCAGTCTGGGCCTCCAGATGCTCACACTAACTCAGGCTTAATATAGCAGAGTCGTCAGCATGGGCTGCGGAAATGCGTCCAGCTCACTTAATGGGCCATTAACACATCTCTGCGAAGAGGTTGGTGAGGCCTCCACACCAGAGCCTAGGCATTAAGCTCAGATGCCCATCTGGTGCTACAAATGCTGCTGTGACTTTGGGTTCCTCATGTTGGCCTCCCACCTTCTTCTAAACCATGAATTGAGATGATTTGCTTCGTATTTAATTTATCTAACAGTGTGCCAAGTCTGGGTATGGATTGTGGGATCTGTTTGATCATAAAATCTCATGTTCTTGGACTGACCCAAAATCGAATGACCATCTGTCTGATCTTAGAAACCTAGGGTTTGCAGGAGACCTAGTATCCTTTAAATTTAGCGCTCCCTCTCATGTCTGTAAATCAAAGGAGCAGAACAATTTAACAATCATCCGGGACTCCTCGTCTACAACCATGGGACCAGATGTACCCATGGTGCCATTCCAGCTCCAAAATCCACATTTCTGTGGCTGTCTCAGAAGTGTCCATGCCTCCCTACATTCCCAAACATTCAATGACCCACCAGGGTTTCTCAAATTTGCCACCCTAGACATTTAGGGCTGGACAATTCTTTGTTGCCAGGAACTCTTCTCTGTGCTGAAGAAATTTTCTTAGCATCTCTGGTGTCTACATGTTATTAGCAGATGAATACACATCATGACAACGACAATGTCTCCATGTACTACTATGTCCTCTGTTTAATAGGATGTAATAGAATAGCTGCTATTTCCTAGAAGAAAAAGACTCCGACAAGGACTCAGACATAAGTAAAATGTTGTCCATATCTCATATTTTGCCATAAAAGTTATTGCAAGCATTAAAATCCCACAAGGGCAATACAAAATTTGATAGAACACAGATTAAGAGAGGAACTAAAGGAAGTATCTTGAGGGGCAGCCCTGGAGTATGGCTGGGTCCCAAAGGATGGGCAGAAGAAACAGAGTGACAGAGTCCCTTCATCAAGAGGACAGAGCAACAAAGCATGGAGATGTTTAAGGCATGAAGAGAAGCCTTTTCTGGATGAGTGGGATGGGCAGTAGAATTCAAAAGGTGGCCAGATATCTGCATGGTCTGCTTGCAAGTTAAGAGCTATTTTGTGGGAAAAGACAAAGAGCAGGCAGTTTTGAGCAATATGACTGCATGTTTAGAGTTAGTCCTCAGGAAGAGTACTCTGCCGAGGACCTAAAGTGAATTCAAGTGGCAAAAACAGAGATGGAAGAGTCAGCTAGGGAGTCAATGTTCCTAAGAGGTGTTTGGACAGTGGCCAAGGAGACGAGAGGGGTGGGGGTGGTGGGAAGGGGGAAGAGTAAGAGATGCTCTGGGTTTAAAGCTCAGTCTACTGGGAATGGGGTACCCATAGGGAGAGACAGAGAGGACAAGTAGAAGGGCAAGCTTGGGGTAGGGATGGGAGAGAGCTGGGGATGGCTTCAGTTTGTGTGAAACTGGGGTGTGTCAACCTCATCTCCGAGCTCTGGTTTCTTTCTTGGTGAAACAATGGAGCTGAGCCAGAGGGTTCTGTTTCTTTCCAACTCTGAAATTCTATGAGCGCATAACACTGCTGCCCAGCACTTGAGACATAACATTTTCAGTCCAGATACAGTGGATAGATATGTTAACTCAGAAAGTCTCTGTTCCTTTTCCCTGATTGGATTCATGGAGGACCCTGATCCTTTTCCCTTCCTCCTGCCTATGTCTCTGCAGCTGTGCATCCTTCAGTGTGAGGAGAAGGTGTTCCCCAGCTCTCGCTGGACTCTGTGCACCAAGGTCATGGCCAGGGGTTCCTGGCAGCTCAGTCCTGCTGGCCCCGAACACGTGGTGGCCGCTCTTTATCAGCCAAGAGCCGCAGAGATGCAGCATCTGAAGCGAATACCCCGCGTCCAGAGCCCATTCCAGGCACAGGAAGAGACAGAGCCAGGCACGGAGGAGGCTGGTGATATGGAGCAGAAACAGCTGCAGAAGAGGTTTGGGGGCTTCACAGGGGCCCGGAAGTCGGCTCGGAAGTTGGCCAACCAGAAGCGGTTCAGTGAGTTTATGAGGCACTACTTGGTCCTGAGCATGCAGTCAAGCCAGCGCCGGCGCACCCTGCAGCAGAATGGTAATGTGTAGCCGGAAGGGGCGCTCCTCCCAGCTGCACCGCCACTGCAACCCATGAGTGAGTTGGGGACAAAGAGAGACCTCCTACACCCAGCCACCTTAGCCTTTTCCCAGGCCCAAACACACGGATACACACACTTGTGCACACACTAACACACACACACCTCAAGGACTCCAGCTCCGGGAGGCCTAGGAGAGCCAGTCTCTGTCTCCTGCCCACCCTGTCTCTAGGGAGCCTGGATTTCCCTCTCCTTGCTCCCTAAACCTGACCACTCCCATTTAAAGATTGGTTACCATGGGGACAATAGTAGTATGTAAGATAACTAATTCCTCCAGAGCTCTCTGGGAGCTTAGTTACTATGGGGACAGTTAAGTGGACCAATTCTCTTATCCAGTTGCCATAGCAACCATTCAGCTCACCTTTCCTCAGAGACTATCTCTAAAAACCAATGGCTGGACCTAGTCATAGCCATTCGCAATGAAGCTGATTACTTTTTCACCTTTGAAGGTGCCTTATCTATCTCTTCCCTTCCTTCTACATGAACGGGACTAACTGCCCCGGAAAAGATGAAACTTTCCCATTTCCTCCAACCGAGGAGTTCTTGTTAGAGCCTAGAGTTATGCTATCTTCCTTTCTTCCACCAGCTATGTGTCCACCTAGGACCTGGCCAAAGAAAAGCAGATTCCTTGCGGTTAATGGCAGCATTAATGAAGAAGAGCTTGAGAATTTGGCCCAGTTGGAGTAGAGTCTTTTTGAACTAAAAGATGCATCCTCTTGCCTCTCTTTTTCTTTCTTTGCAGACTACCATTTTTGCTTTGGTTTGGTTTGGTTTGCCTTTGTTTCTCTCTCCTTTCTTCCCTGCTTTTTCTTTTGCTCTTCTCCTGCCCCCAAAAGCATGGTTATACAAGTTCATATCACACGTCTCAGAGGCATACAGCAAAGACTTCACCCCATCATTCAATCTCAACTCACTTAGCGTATCCATGAATACATAACTGTGATGGCACTGGAAACCATCCAAGTAGAATTTCCTGAAAATTGAAGAAAAATCCCAGCCAGCAAGTCTACAGATCTCCATCTGTGTTTGGGAACATGCTCACACACAGAGCCCCACACTCTGACTTCAAATCTAGAAACCTGGCCCAGTGCAGAGAACCAGTCAGTTCAACAAGCTTGTCCCCAAACATTGCCCAAGCAAGCCATTCCCTGACTCAGAGGCATGGCAGAAAAATGTCTGCACACGCTCTGTCCTTCACCTCTGCATGCATCAGAGGTAAACACGCATGACTCATCTTCCTTCAGGATTATCAATCTATAAATTGATCCCTGGGGCCCTGCTCCATGGGAGACAGCCCTCAGAGCTCTCTGCAGGTAGGGTGCTTGTTTATTTTAGCAGAATGACTAATCTCCAAAGCCCTGCCTGGACCTGAACTCTGTATGAGGTCATTCTATTTTGTTCTAAACCACATCTGCATGGTGCCTAACAAATCTTTCGGAAATGGCACAGATTGAATTCTTCTGCATGGTAAAGACATCCTTCTTTAAAGGGGCCCTTAAGAGTCTAATTCTGAGCCACAACCATTTTCTTTACCCAAAAACAGTTTCAAATCAGTCCCATGAGCAGGAATCAATTTACTTAGGGGAGAAATGAACTCCTATCCAGCCAATTGTTTTTTTCAGATTTTCTATTATCCTTTTAACTAACAGATATTGAAAGGCAGTTGGTTACAGGTTTCATCTGTTGTATCTCTCAAGATGCAGAGTTCTTGGTGGACATACTGAAAACATTAAACAGTTCATGCAGGCATTATTGATGGCTCTCCTTCCTCCGTGGGCCTCTCTTCTGCACATGCGCAGTTGCTGGGTTACACTATGGACATGTACGAATAGCTTGTAATGGGGAACTGACTCCTTATGCTTGGTAACTTACACAAATGCCCCAACCTGCCCAGTGCATGGCAGATTCCTTCAGCTTCCTTTTACCAAAGCTGCTCTTGACTTCTAAGACATCCAGTGCCAATCTATACTGAGGAGTATAATGTGTCATAGGAATGCAAGGCATTGAGGTGCGGGTCCTGCTCTGCACAGAGCTGTAAAGAATACAGCAGATCTCGGTGACTGCCTCCCTTTCCTGACCCTCTACTATCACCCCCCTTTGTGCTGCCTCAGGCCTTGATCCTTCTAGACTGAGTGGAAAATTAGCAGTCACCCATGGCCAGGTATTAGTGACCTGAGGCTGAAAGAGGTTCTCTAAGAGAATCTTAAATGAGGACACAATTTAGCATGGATACTGAACACCAGGGAAGAGAGACCCGTTTCCAGGTAGGGGATTTGTCAGTACCCCTCTCAAGTCATGGCCCCCTGACCTCACCTTTATCCTGCTAGTCTGCCGTGGAAGCAGAGCTGCCATGAGGGCAGGTGTTAAGGAATCCCTCCTGGCTACCCAAGAACATCTTCCTTGGGTTGCTGGTTTTTTCTGGCCTCCTGATTGCTTCAGTCACTTGGGAGGAAAGAACGGGAGGGTCAAAAAAGCATCAATTTGTATTTAATCATTTCTGTCTCTCCAGGCGCCCTGGTGATCCCCAAAACAGCATGTGTCCAGCCCCAAACCTGCCGACTGGGAATCAGGATTCCTTCCTCCCCAAGGCACTGACAGCCTGCAGGCCCTGCGGGCACGGCCTCTGGCACCTCCCTTCCGGTTGTCTCTCCCGCCTGGCATGATCCCCCACAACCCTGTTGCTACATCAGAGTGTATTTTTGTAATTCCTCCAGCTAACATTTTAATGCCCCCTTCTTTCCTTCTCACCCAGCTCCTTTCTCTTCTGGGGTCGGGTGAAAGGAAAATGAAATCAAGCCTGGGGTTTCAACTTGTCACTGCCATAACTCGTTTGTAAAACAGCTGTTCTTTTTGACTGATTGTTTGAAATGAGTATTTCCCCATTAAACTTCTACTGAGCAAATGGTTAATAAACTGGTTTGCTGTTTCTAAGTAGTGTGATCAGGAAGCATAGACTGCAAACAGTGTCACGGCTGTCTCTCCAGGGAAGTAGAGACAGAAAGTAGAGGAGGAGGCGGGGCAAATTCTGTCAGCATAAAGAGCTCACCGCGTACCTACCTCGAGCCAGAAGTTACTTCGCTCAACTGGGTGACAGCTTGGGCAGGGGGGACAAAGGTGAAGTAAATTGGTCAGACTCTGTGTATCTAAATCCCAGGGCGGCAGGCTATTCTCGGTCAGTTCAGATGCTGTTGTAAAAGCTGTTTTCACACAAAGCTGTTTTCACAGTTGACTGAATGCATAGATACAGAACCCACACACACGGGGGCCAACTGTACCCCAGACAGTCGTAAGCTTACTCCCCTGTCAGTTCTCTCACTGGGAAGTCCAAGATGCCAGGGCCCCAGTGTTCTTGCTGCATTCTCCCCCTGCAGAATGACAAGCAGGACCAAAGGCGGGAGCGAACTCATCCTCTTCCCAGGGCCCCACACTCTGCATGACTAACCCACTCCCACTCTGTTGGCCTGGATGAGGCAGAGCCCCGAGTCTCAGCACCTCTTAAAGACCCCACCTCCCAGAATTCCTATGGTAACCATTAAGTGGCCAACCATGGTAAAGAATTTGCAGAGCAGCGAGGGATGGTGGGAGCTCTGTAAAGGACCTGAGGAGGCCCAGTAGGGACAAGGAAGTTGCTGGAACCCATAAGAACTTCAGCCAATCGCAAACTCTTGGAGCTGAGGGGCTCGGTACTCCCACTATCAAACTCCAGAGTGTATCTCCTGGTGGCCAGACCCCATGGGGAGCTGAGTTAGGAGGGCAAGTCTGGGGAGCCCCCACCCCAGCTGCAAATGGAGAATGTCAGCTCATCGACTTGGGGCCATGTCAGCAAAAGGTAGGAGTGCAGGCTGGTCCTAGTGGGCACTTTTGGGGGGGAAAGTGGGGAAAGGACAGAGAGAAGGGGACAAGACATGGAGCGCCCCAACCTGTGCCACCATGAGCTTGCCACATCTTGCAAGTCAGCCCCTTCTGCTCCAGCAATGGCAGGGATCCCCAGAACCCACTCCCGGAGTCACCTCTTCTTCCAGCTCCAGTGTCTCCTGGACAATTTCCGGCTTAATGTGAACAGGGTCCCTCAGCTCTCCCACCCATACCCCACACCCACCGCCCCAAATTCTCCCAAGGACAACCCCACCACCACCTTATTTTACAAAAACTGGACACTTAAACACGCGTCCACAACTTCCTCCAGCCTTGCCTTGGCATCTACGATGCTGCACTCAACGTTTCTTCACGCTTGGTCACTGAGGTTGTAAAGCCAGCCCCCAGGTGGGTACCCTTCCTGCTCAGTGCACTGAGGCCCACCCAACTAGGTGTGGGGACGCCACACCCACAGTCAGGACCCATTTCTCTAAACAGAGGGCAATGCCTTGGAGATGTGCAGTGTCCTCAAAGGTTTACGTGTTGGAGGTGTGGACCTCAGCTGGCAAGGGGAGGTGGAGCCCAGTGGGGGGTCTTTAGGTCATGGGGGTGCACCTCTCTGGCTTCTCATATTCCATACAATCTCTCCCTCCCAGTCCACTCATCTGCCATGTGGTGTCACAGCCAAGAGGCTCTGCCTCTGCCATGCTGTTTGGACATTTAGTCTCCAAAACTCTGAAAGAAACACACTCTTTTCTTTCTAGTCTACCTCAGGTATTTTGTTACAGGACAAAAACCTGACTAATGCATGCCATGACTTCTTTTCTAGCTCACCCCTCAAAAGACTCAGCCATACGGTCAAAGAGATGCTGCCCTTTGTCAACAGAAGCAACAGAAAATAGTCAGTGCCTAGGTCACAATTCTAGTGTTGTTTTTTCCCAACTTGTAACCTTGGACAAGTTATTCAACTTGTGCCTCACTCTCCTCATCTGTAAAATGGAACAGTAAGGACTCCCTGAGAGTCGCTGCATAGGTAACCTAAGTCAGCACTTGTCTGGGTCCCTGGTCAATGTCATCTTCTGTTAATAGAAGGAAAGGAATGTGTACGCCTTATCAGGAGTTATGATGTGTGACCTTCTGCTTAGCGCCAAGAACAATCATCATTTTATTCGTTGTAAGAACAGCGGGGAAGAGGGCAGGCATTATTAAGTCAGACAATGTACCATTTTATTCCTTATAAAATATATTTCATATTGTTGGTGTAAAAACATTACATTTCACATTTTTAAAAAATTTTCAACAGTAAAAATAATACTTGGAAGATGGCTGAAGGGAAAGAAAAGAAGCCAGTAAGACAAATTCACAGATGGGATTTAGCGCCCCTTTTTTTCTCTTTTTTTTTTTTTCCTTTTTTAAAATTTTTAAATTTTTTTATTTTTTTGCCCCTGCTAAAGTCAGAACCTGGATGACCAGAAAGTAACAAGACAGACTTTTCTTCCAACAAATCACAATTTCCACACCCAAATTAATATTGTCCTTCAAGGAGTCATGCTCACCGTAATATGGTGGCCACAACCAAATTGCTTTCTGAGCCAGCTTAAATTCACATTATTCACAAGCTAAGTTATCTGTGTCATTGCTCTGCCCCTGAGATTTCCCGACCACAGACACGATTCTCTGTGCTCCGCATGCAGCAGACTTCACCTCCCCAGGGCACATTGCTGGATCCAGTTTCCCAGGATACCCACCTTGCAGATGAGGTCCCGCACCCGGGGCATCATCCTCCCAGCCTCCCGTCACTTCCGATGCCGGCAGGGGGGCAGAGGGCCGGGAAGCCGGGAGACAGTGCACACGGCACCACTCAACTCTCAGCTCCAAGAAGGAACCCCGGAGGCACGCCAAGGACGGACCCGAGTCAGGGGCCCCCACAGCAGCCACAAGACAGAGGAGGGCACCACCACTGAGAAGGGGCATGGGACAACACAGACAGGAAAAACCGCCCGGAAACAAAATAACACAAACCAAACCACTCCACTGTTAAAGCGCCCCACCTATTCCTTCTTTCTCTCTGCCTTTTCTGTCCTGCGCATCAATGGCATGAGGAGTCTGCCATGAGGAAACATCCTTGTGTCAGCTACATCCGTGAGGTCCAAGCTGCTGCAGCTAGTAAGGGATTTCAGGGCAGGGTCCCCACAAGATGCTCCCTCCCCAGGAAGGTCGGGGCTGGGCAGCGTGGGAAGCGGGCAAAAGGGAGGAGCCGCAGCCTGTCCCCAGCTCCTGATTCTCCACAGAGACAGAAGAGGAGTCCTGGGCCACCTCGCTGGCCTGGTTTCAGGCTTGGACGTCCACAGCCATATTTCCATCACAGAAATGTATTACCACCAAAGACAGTCATGCATAAGTGTATCTGTCCCTTATCACCAGCCAGGCCCCTGCACCCTTGACAACATCACCTCCCTATGCTGAGGTTTTCCCACAAATGGCATTATTTCCACATGATATCATCCTTGGTAATAACCTTGGTGGCCAGGTATTTTTACCGGGGACCACAACAGTCCAGGTAACAACAAACAAACCAAATAGTCCAGGTGGACCCTACTGCTCAGCCCCATGCACGCTGACACACAGGACATGGTGAGACCAGGGTGGGCATGTTCAGGCCCTGAGGCATCCCACCTACCCACGTCAGGGGGCCCTCACCCTGGCCTCAGTCATCTGTGGTTGACTAAACTCCCTGGCTCTCCCTCTTCGGTGACAGCTTTGCGTGTGGACTCCAACACTCACCATGCCTCCAAAGGCCTGTGTCTCCCCAATACCAAAAGCCGAAACACCAGCAGCTACTACTCAGCCCCACTTCCCTCCCTCCAGGTCCTCAGCCTGAGCCTCACGCCCAGAAGGGCCCTGCCTTCCTCCCCTTCCACAAGAAGCAGAATTGGGGAAATCCCTGCGGCTGTCCTCATGAAAGGTCTCACAACACACCAGGCCAAAGACAGTGTTCTGGCCCTTCCTCCCTGCACAGAAGAGAGAGTCCCCAGAGGGGTGACTCCAGGAGGAGCAGCACCTGCTCCAACACAGAAACCCTCTGCCCTTCCTCTAGGAGGCAAGGGACTCTCAGGGTAGCGCTGGAAGGCCACCTTCCCAAAAGCAAACTCATATCCTTCTGCTCAACTGCCTGGTGGCAGTCTTCACAAATCTCTGTGTTCACAAATCTTCTACAGGCCTTGAAAAGAAGCCACAGGACAGACAGCTGTCACCACCACAGGAAGGTTCTCCTTGTCCTTCCAGAAGCTGCCTAGAGGGGCAGCTCCCAGAAAAGGGGCCTCTGGATGGCAAGACATCTGCTGTCCCCACCAACCCGCAGTCCTCCTTCTGGGTCGTCCACACCGGCGAGAAGCTATATTTTTTTTTTTTAAAGGAAATTCATCTTGCTCAGTCCTTTCTGAAGAGTTGAGAAAGCAAAGGATTCACCAGCTCAGTGGGGAACAGGGCTCGTGTGTGACGCTGTCCCCCTCTGAGACAGAGGAACTCATCCCTCCAGCCAGGGGCAGGGGGACAGGGGTGTGGGAAGGGAGGAGGAGGAATTCTTTGGTCTCTGGTTCGCTGCAGGATACCCTTGGTCAGTTTTTGGCTCTCTCCTATCTTAAGGGGAAAAGATTCTTTTCTTTTTTAAAAATAAAATGTTCTCCCACCAAGGGGGAAAAAGTGTTTTAAGTGTTACGCCTTTGCCGAATGGGCTGGGACTCCACACTTCCGCCTGAATCTGCCGGGTTCTGCAGGCAGAAGGCCCATCCGCCTCCCTGGCCCTGGCTGCCAGGTGGCCAGGTGGCCGGGTCCGGGCTCAGTCCAGGAAGCGCTGGCACGCCTTCTTCCACCGGCAGGCAGTGCACCACTGGTCCCGGTGCTCGATGCCATATACCTTGCGGCACTTCTTGGCCTCGCCACGGGCTTTCCTGCCAAGGGACAGGAGAAAGGGTAGAGTCACAAGCTGGTGCCAAACACGAGGCAGGGTGGAAGGGTGGCTGGACAGAACTCAGTAGGGGTGGATCCTCCACCCCTTGGGGACTGACCTTGGGACTGTTCTGGGTAGGTTCAAGGCTCACACTACAGTGGAGATGGGAGGCAGAGCTGAAAGGACATCTTACCTGGTGCTGCTCTGGGCCCGGGGTGGAGAGGTGACAATCAGGTGCGATTTCACGGCAGGTGGCGGCTGCTGCGGCTCACTGAAGCTGAGTGAGCGGCTGCGGACCTGAGTAGGAGGCACAGAGCCATGAGCATAGCCACGTACAGGAGGGCATCATCCAGGACACTGCCTGCATGCCCTGCACCCTGTGTGCCTCACGGCGCCCAGAGCAAGCACCAACCCCAGAGGGAGGGCATGGGGGACACTGCCGGCCAGGCCCAGGCGGGGGGGGGGGGGGGACTGCAGGCGAGGCCAGGTCCTAAGCCACACTGGGGACCCAGCAGGGTCAGAACAGCACAGCCACCTTGGGGCTGCTCTGCCTATGACTTAGATGCCTGGAATAAAGGAGGTGATGGCCGCCTCACTGGCACCTTCTGACTACAGGTTTGTAATAGGTGACACTGCCCTGTGACATATACTTGAGACTAAATCTCACCAAACGTGGTTCCGGTGACTTTCAGTTCCTTTCATTTCAGAGTCCAGCACCCTAAGGTGCCTTTCCCACATGGCCTCGCAGCCTCCTGGTGCTCCTCTCTCCTGTCCTGCCACTGCATCCTACCCAGCAGCCCCACACTCTCCTCCTCCCTCTCTTCTGGGCACCAGGTTCTAACAAGCACCGAGGGACACACACGGGGCCAATCAGGGAACTTACCACAGCTGAAACCCATTTGCCCTGGACTCCTCCATGAGCACCTCCCTCCCTGCTCAGACAGGGCTGGAGATGTGAGGGACAGGGACCCGCAGGGATCCTTACAGAGTCTGGGGGCTGGAGGCCTGGTGACAACCATCCATGTGCCGAGCCCCGGGCTTGTGCCAGGGCCCCTAGTGCAGAGGGGCACACTCACCGGAGAGAGGGGGGAGGCGGCGGCAGGGGCAGCAGCCCAGCTGATGCTGGTGTAGATATGGGGGGACACGGGGATCTGGAGGGACGGCAGAGCCTGCAGAGACACAAGGGTGTCAGCCGGGCTCCAGCTCAGGAAGCACTTATCTGCCCAGGGCCCTGTAACCTTGCATCCCACAGGGACAATGCAGCTGTGCCCAAGCAAGATGAACAGAAAGTACCAAGACACGCCAGAGCCATGGCCCCAGGAGCACCCCACAGAACCCATCTCGCCTCTCTGTAACTCAATCCCGCAGTGCAGAGGCTTCTGGGTGCCATCACACTCCAGGCATAATTCCACACGCAGCTGCCAAAAGAAGCCTGACTCCTGAGTTGGGTGGCATCACTGACATACAGCACTGAGTCAGCAGGCAAAGGCTCCTTGGTATCCGTTAGGTCTATTTGTGAAACCACAGCCACACCACACGGGGCCTACAGGGTCAGCTAGGGCTGGACGTGGGCCAAACCATGAAATAACTAAGTGGCCACTAATTCCAGCGAGGAGGCAACTGGTCATGCTGGCAGATAGTCTAACTGAAAACACTACTTTTTAATTACTAACTTACAAACTGGCCCAGAGGCAAAAAAAAAAAAAAAAAAAAAAAAAAAAAAAAAAAAACCCTAAGCTGTAGGCACAGAGAGATTCTAAAATCAGCACACAGGAAGCTCCACAGGTACCCACTCCATGCCATGAAGACCATCCTAACTGTCACCCCCTGTGACACTTCCCCAAACACACTAAGGCACTACTGTGGTCTCACCTATACCCAGGATGCCTCCATCAGACAGCACTCTGACTATTATCATTAATCCTGGCAAGAGACTCATTTCTCTCCCCAGCTGCACCACGCACTCTACAAGGGCAGGAACGAGGTTGTTCTATGGGCAGCTTACCTGGCCCAAGGCTAGGCTCACAGTTGGTTTTCAAAACTGGATTGTTTCGTGAACAGTCACAGAAACTAAGCTTTGCCTTGGGAAGCCCAACTACACTACTCCACCACTTTTTGTTTTAACTGAGGGTTGAAGCAGGGAATTCTCCTGGAGCTACATCCCCAGCCCTTTATACTTTGAGACAAGTTGCCCAGGCTGGACCAGAACTTGCAATCCTCCTGCCTTAGCCTGGCAGAGTGCTGGGATTACAACCCTGCACCACCATACCCGAAATGTGACCGTCCCCCAGCCTGAACCCATCAACCTGGTTACTTTGGGATTTGGCTGGATTGCTCACAGCCATTGTCACAGCTACTCATGTAGCGCTCTGGGGACTCCCATGGATACTGCATGGGATGCTGGCTTGCTTTTCCTTCTTTGTCAATATAAGGTTAGCACTTTGGCCAAAGGGCTCCGTCCTCTGTCAGGGTAGTCAGAGCCCTGTGATGTCGCTGGTCAGGGACCAGTTATGCCCAGGCTCTTTACCTGGTACGCATGGTCAGCCTGAATGTGCCAAAAGGAGCTGGGCGCCGACTTGCTGAGTGCAGCTGAAGCCAGGGAAGACTCCGGGCCAGGGTGTTTGGAGCCGGAGCACTGGGCTCTGGGCGGAGGCAGAGGGAGGGCAGCAAGGGACGGGCTGGTCACTTGGGCAGCCGGGGCTGGCTCAATAATGTGAGTCCCAGGGGCAGAGGTGCCAGCTGCGGCGGCAGGAGGGTCTTCCTTCATCTGCACCTCTGTGTAGTAGAAATCCTCCTCCCGCTTAAACTGGTCGGAGTCCACAGAGTCCCTGAGTGGAGAGAGGTGGCCAACATCAGAGCCTTCGCTCAAAGCCAGCAGAAACCACAGTGCAGGAGGGAAGCAACAGCTGAGGGCCACCCACCAGCATGTGACAGTGCCCAGAATGCCCAGGAGCCCTGCTCCCAACCACTGCCCGAGGGATTCCGAGCTGGCACAGAAGCCTGTCCTCTATGAACACTGGCTTGGACCCCTGCCCTGGGCCTTCCAGGGGTCCCCCCTCTGCTCCATGCTCAGCAAATCACAGGGCCCCTGCTCTACAGGACCTGGAAGGGGCAAGTAAAGGCGCACTGGCCCGGCACCCCCAGAAGGGAAGTGGCCCTGAGCCCCAGACCTACCCCAGGTGCAGGGCTTTAACATGGCGCTTGATACCCACGATGGAGCGCAGGACTTTGCCACAGCTGGGCCACAGGCACTTGTACACCACCTTCACGGAGTTCTAGGGGAGAGAGGAGTCCAGTAACTGGAGTACGTCTTCCTCCCCGCTCTCAGTGGGGACTTCCACTGGCCGCTGTCCTCAGACTCAACAGCGGGCACCAGGCTGGGTTCCCTGGGAGTAGAGACTGGTAGCCAGGGGTCCCAGGAGTTTTCCCTGGCAGCCAGAGCGGTGCTGGGTACTGTGGCTATGACTCCACCTCAGCTTCTCATGCACAGGCCTGAGCAAGGACGAAGGGAAGAAGGCAGAGCCCAGGAGGAGGCTAACAAGTATGAACAGAAGCCGAGGCAGGAGGATTGCAAATTCAAGCCCAGCCTGGGCAACCTACCAAGATCCTGTCTCATAATAAAAATCACGTACCTTCCTTTTGCGTGGAGCTGGTTCATCCAACAGGAAAGGGTCGGGGTCAGTCTCAAAGCCATGGTCAGTTTGGGGAGAACCAAAGGCATCGCCCAAATACTTGGGGCTGGCCTGGGGGTGCGGGGGCGAGGGAGTGGAGATGCCACTGCTGCCGCTCCAGTGGCCACTGGTGGTGCTGCTGCCGCTGTCGGACACATCCCCGCTCTCCTTCCAGGGGTCACTGCAGGCCACTCGGGAAGCTGGCCCAACAGAAAGAAGACAGAGAACACTCATGGGCTTGGCCGGGGTGACAGAGCCACCGCAGCCATAGGGCTCCCTCCCACCAACAGACACGGGCTGCAAGATCACCCTGTAAAGGACCCACAGACAGATAGTGGGTTAAGGCCTGGATCTTACTGCAGGAGGTTAAAAAGTCAGAAGCTGGGCAAGGGGGTACACATCAATCATCCCCACACTCTGGGAGGCCGAAGCAGGAGGACTGAAAGCTCGAGCCCTGCCTGGGCAATTTAGCAACGTAGCAGGACCCTGTCTCAAAATAAAAAATAAAAAAGGGATGGGCCGTAACTCAGTGCAAAGGTCCTGGGCTAAAAAAGTACCAACAAGGAACACTGAGGAGCCTCCTGTGCCTCCTGCCTGACTTGAGAGTTGGGGGTTGGGGGGAGGATGCTTCCCAGGGCTGGTGGCAGTCTGGTAGCCACAAGGGGACAGCACTGTGTGGGCCACCGCGTCGGAATGCCTCAGCATAAAGGGCCCAGGTAGGGTGTGGGATTTTCAGATTTTTGGTGAAGGACCAGACTCCAGGGCCTACACACAGTGCACAAGTGCTCCCCCATCCAGCTCCACCCTGAGCCCTGATTTTCACTTCAGGTTGCTTCAGGCTCAGCCCAGATCCCTTCACTCCTGGGCCACACATCCCGATGAAATGACAGTACAGAAGAATCTCAAATGTGACACGTGGAAACAGCGAGAAAGAAGGGAAAGGCCCCCAAAACCCCCCAGTTCCTCAGGCGCACTCCAGAGAGGCCTCTGAATTCTGGGGTCCAAGGCAGACAGTCATACTCCTGGTAGCCCGGGTGAAGCCTGTCCAGCATCCAAGCTGCCCCCATCCCTGCTTCCAACCCACGCTCTCTTTAATCTGCACCCTAGGAAAACGGGGTACACACTCAGGGCAGAGCTCAAGAACCACCCAGCAGGCCCACAGAGGGGGACAGGAAGGCACGGAGAATACACATCTGGGATGACCAGGCCCTGAATAGAAGGGCAGGCAACCAGCTGACAAGCATTGGGACTGTGGCAGCTCTGCTACGTGGTGACTGCTTCCAGAGACTGGCACACGGAACCCAGCATGCCAAGGAAGCGAGGCGGAAACCCAGCCAGAAGTCAGCACTGTGAATTAACCTGAAAGTCACTAAGATCAGGGACTTGATCTTTGATCAGAAGTTCTTCCAGGGCACAGGTAACAGCTACATAGCCTAGATCCTGAGAACAAAATACTCTGCGAATGCATAGCGGCGAGAGTTTATGAGCAAGCCTTTAAGAATTGTTTACAGGACCGGGAATTTAGCTCAGTGGCTTAAGCACCTGCCTGGCAAGTGTGAGGTTGTGAGCTCAATCCCTGGTGCCAGAAAAAAAAAAAAAAAGAATTGTTGTAGTCCCCATGAACATGTACATACATGTACACACATCCAACACACATCTCGTGAACTTAGTGTACCATCCTAACAGTACACAGGCCAAAGGGAGTAAGGGGGATTTTATAGCATAATAAATACAGCAAGTCTGTGTGTGTGTGTGTGTGTGTGTGTGTGTGTGTGTGTGTGTGTGTGTGGCAGGGTCTCACTATGTATCCTAGGCTGTCCTCAAGCTCAGGGTGATTCTCCTACCTCAACTTCCCTCATGCTGGAATTACGGGCATACACCACCACACCCAGCTACTTTAAGGCTGTTATGTAGACTTCACACTGTACAACAATTCAAATTATTAGCTGCCAAGGAAGCCTCATGTTTCCACGGACTTCAACCACAAAATCAGACATGTAAGGAAAAGAAAAACTTTAACAGACAATGAAAACTTGCCAACAACAAGCCTCCAATAGCCTGGTTGCTGTCTGTAATCCCTGCTACTCAGAAGGCTGAGGCAGGAGGATTGCAGGTTCAAGCCTAGCCTGGGCAACTTAGTGAGACCCTGTCTCAAAATAAACAGTTAAAAGGACTACGGCTGAAGCTCAGTGGTGGCACTCCCTTGGGTTTAAGGCATAGTATGTCCCCAAAAAGAGGGAACCGAAGACACCACATTTGTGGCATATCATCACGAGATGCATATAGATTGGTGTACACGCATGTGTGTAAACATACACTAATGAGGACTGGAGTCATTCATTTTCTCTCCTGGATCTGTTGATCCAACTTACTGGATCTCCTAAACTTGCAGAACTACTTGAGAATTTAAAATCTACTACCCTCTTCCAGGGTTTTTGTGGGGAAGGCCCAGTGCTTGTGCCCTAATAGGTTGCAGTGCTATGCTTCACCACTAAGTGTCCTCAGAGCGCAGGCTTTAAATGCCTTTAAATTCACTTTCTGTCTGGGGAGATTACTACCCGGTGGGGGGCACTTGTAAAGGCCACTTTCCTCCAGGTCTGACCTCAGATCTAGTTCCATATTCTCCTGCAATTCATTCGGGTCACACAGATGGAAAAGTCCTTCCCTGGGAATAAGACAGGCCAGCTCCGTAAGAAATTTCCTAAAAACCTTGCCAGTCTCATGCAGACCCAGCAATCTTCCTTCCCCCACATGACCACCTAAGTGTTTTGGGGACACCACCTGCAGAATTTCTGTTTTAACACAGATTTGGTTTTTAGTACTCAGCTGGATGTGAGGGCTCTGCTGAGTGTCTGCAGATCCCAGGACTATAGGCTCCGCAAGCCGCCCAGGCTGACTCAGGCACTGGGAACAGGAGGCGTGCGATCCCTGAGGCCACTAGGGGACTGCTTAGCATATTTCTGCCCTAGTGAACTAAATATTCCTCTTGTCACTTTGTTCAGGCGCCCAAGGACCACACTCGCCCAGGCCCAGGTAAAAATTCACTCCAGGGGCTGAGCTCAAACACTGCCACAGTGCACCAGGATGCGCCTCCCCAGGTCGGGAAACTGAGGAAAGGAGGTAAAAGCTTCGGACTCAATGGCACTCGAAGAACGTCCAGAAATCCTACTGCTTACTGCCTAGCTGACTCTGGCATCAGCTACTGAAAGCAGAGGGGGTCAGGCCCTGCTGACTCACCAGAGAAGCTGGCTTCGGCCCCCGGAGGGCTCTGAATAACTGGACTGCAGGACAGGGACGTCAGCACCATAGCCGCCATCATCTCGTCCATCTCCACTGCATCCGACTTCCTGGATTCAAATGGGAGGGGAGAAGCTTACTTCCTGGGCTATCTGGTCCATGGGGCCCTGAGAAGGGGGCAACTTCCGGTTATTTTCCTGGGGTCTGTACTATGCCCGAGTCCCCACCTGATCCGGCAGTCTATGCTCAGATAACAGACTCTGAAGGGCTCCTCTCCTCCTACACCGAACGTGCTTTGCTTACATGATGTTTGTGATAGTAGCCAGCTATGCTGGGAGCAGGTGGGTCCCCCACTTATACCAGGCTGGTACCTCCAAGCAAACCCTATCTCCCCGGATTTCACTTCTAACTATGCAGCTTAATATGGAACATTTTATTTGGGGGAGGAGAGAGAAGCCGAAAGAATAAAGGATGGGAAGAAAAGATGCCCAATGAAATTATCAAAACACTAAAACTACCCCCCTTCCTTTGTTCGTGTTTATTAGTACATTGCCCTATACACGACGATGACATTCACTGCAGGCAGTTGGTACGTGTCTATAACGTACCTTAAATCCCCTTACTTCACATCCCCTTCTCTCCTCCCTTCCATCCCTAGATCCTCTTCCCAGCTGCAAAGGATCCATCTCCCTCTTTCTTATCACCTGTTATTCTGCCTTTTCAATTATTCATACTTTGGGTTTCTCATATAGGAGACACCATGCAATATTTAAGGTCCTGTGCCTGATTTATTTCATTTAACATTATGGTCTCAAGATGCATCCATTCTAAATTACCCCCTCTTCCTGTCTTACGTTGAAATTTAAGAGGAAATAATAACACAAATCACGTTCTTCCTCCTCTCCTCCCAGATACATAAGGCATTTGATTAGCCACTAAATGTCAACAGAGCCTACTACACAAGCCTGGGAGCAAATAAACCACATGCTAAATCTCCCTGCACAAATCTCCGTGCTTTATACAATGGTGTTCTATAAAATTTATGTGCAATTTTTAAAACAAAATCTACATGCAGTCATATTATTTGGAAGCAAAGTTAGATCCATCTGTATGTTAATGCTAAAGTATTAGGAAAAGTTGGTCTGCAACCAACTTCTAGGTGACTTGTTTTTGTTATTGTTGTTGTTGTTTTAAGGAAAAAGACTTCTTCAAAGCTACCCCTGGGGCCACATTCTGCCACATGACATCATCTCCTTGTGTCTAGGTGTGTAAGGGTCTTTCATAGCGTGATTAGTCTATTGGAAGGGACTGGGTTAACTCAGTTTTCTTTTTAAATCCAAGCTATTAAACTATTCAATTGGGTTTGCAGCAGCTAAGCCAAGACCACTGGTATATTAAACAGTTATTTATACGATCTGTGAATATTCATTTATATACTAGAAAACAGTTTCTTTGCAGGTATGCCACTGAGAACACAATCACAAAGTGAAAATACTAAGTCGGGCTCAAGGTAGTGGCACACGCCTGCAATCCCAGCGCTCAGCAGGCTGAGGCAGGAGGATGGCCATGCGTTCAAAGCCAGCCTGGGCTACACAGCAAGACCCTGTCTGAAAAACAAAAACAAAACACTGGGTCTCCGGCACCAGCACTAGCGCCTACAGACACACACAGCAGTGGTACAGGCCATACCGCCCGCCTATCTTATGTGTAACACAGTCTCAGCCAGCAAATTTTTTTTCTAAATTTGAAAAGACCAACAGATGCAGACCATGTAACACAGAAGCTAGAATCTATATTCTCAGGAGAAGTTGTAGCATAAGCTCCAAACCAGGTGTGCTGGCATATGCTGCAATCCCAGCTACTCAGGAGGCCGAGGTCAACCTGGGCTATGCAATGAGACTCCATCTCAAAAACTAAACAAAATGAAGTTCTAAAGCGAATCACCCACCCCACCACTACTACCAATGGTTAGGGTTAACCTGTGATTGGCGCTCCGCCTGGTGCTGTATGGTTTTCCAGCTGTAGACGGCTTTATGTTTTTCAATGGTTTTCTTAAGAAGCCAAAGAAGAACATTATTTCCTGACATGTGACACATAAAAATTATGTGAATTACCTGAAATTTGAGAGTCCATTGGTAATGGGCCAGAGTACAGTCTTGCCCTCGGCTTACGCCTCTGCCTGGTACCCCACCTGGTCACCATCCTGGCCACGAGCCCCGAGTGCCCACATTCCCACTACCCTGGCGCAGCCCGTGCCCCGCCCCCACGGCTGTGCACCTCTTGGGCACGTCGATGTTCCTGGAGACAGGTCTGTAGGCTGGCGCCTGGGCCCCTCGCTCCGGGGACAGCGCCTGGGGCACCGCGCCCTGCAGTTCCGCCAGCCACGCCTCCTCCGCCTTGCAGCAGATCTGCAGCTTCTGGTCTAACAGCCACACGGTCACCTTGTCCTCTGCCCAGCTGTGCTGCTCCACCAGGCCCGTGCACTCACGGCCCCCGTACCACACACAGACCTGTGGGGTACAGCAGCCAAGGGTCACCACTCGACAGCTGTCCCCCCAAGCTCCGGATGTTTCGCCATGCACATTCACTGACTCACTTGTCTACAAATTGGGATGCTGCAATCCACAGGGGTGCTCAGTGTGACCAATTTAGCAGGTGAAGGTCATGGAGGGTGGGTTTCTTACCTTAAGGACAGATTAGGCATGAAAGGGCAGCTGTTCGGAGAGCAAAGTGATCCCAGAGATCCCCACCCAATGCCAGAGCCACACTCTCAGACCTCCCGGTGGTCACCCACCTTTATCCATTAAATTACCCACGCTCCAGGGTTCTGTTACAGCCTCTGCCAAGAGACTGGAGCAGATGTGCCCGGACACCTGCTGCCCACTGAGCACCCAGATGAGCCACCCTGGGCTGACTCTTCCCCAAGCAGGCCCCGCGAACTCAGCTAGAAGACGGTGACCCCGCCAGCAGCTGGGATTCCCTGGAATCCATGTGCCCACCTTCCTGTCTCACCCAGCCTGGCTCCGGAGTCCTGTGTGCTGGCTGGTGCCCAGTTCACCTCCAGAGACTGAGCCTCCCCCGAGGGAGCTGGCAGGCTGGCCTGCCTGTCCTGCTGGCGGCTGTCTTAGCTAATGGGAAGAGGGCCTGAGGCACCAGTCAGTGGGAGGCAGAGACATTATCTCCACTGTTTTCCTAGGCCCCAGAGACAGAGACGCCAGGCATCTGGATGCAGTGATAATATCAGACCAGGAGGGTGACAGCCTGTGGGGACGCTGAAGGCCAAACTGAATTCCCAGGTCACAAACCTCTTCAAGCCCCCAACTCCACAGCATCCAAAGGCAAGGCTAAGAAGCCACCTCCACCCCTAGAAGCTGGAGAGGGGTTTCTCTTTTTGTGAGGCTGGCAGATCACATCATCAACTCACCTTCTGTCCGGGCTGAAAGGCCACCTGCTGGAAGCCTGCAGGGCCCAGAGCCTGCAGGAGCTCCTGAGGCTGCTCTAGACTCCTTCCAGAGTCCTTGCAGGTGAGGACAGGTTGGAGGGTGGAGCCCTCTGGCAGCTCCGCCTGTGGCTCCAATGGCAGCCCAGCCCCCAGTGGCCCATCAGAAGCAACAGGGCCCAGCACCCGGGCTCCCAGGAGCGACCGCTTGCCCAGGCGGCGGGACAGGACACTGGCCATGCTGCTGCGTCTGTGGGGAGGCAAAGGTGACAGTGAGTCTCCATCCACACCGGAAGGAAGCAGAGACCTAGCACCAAACCAGGGAGCATCGTCCAAAGGAGCAAAATGCTGAAGAGTAACATTTATCATGATTTTTGTTCTGATAAAACTTATAGCATCCGTGTAAGTCATTAAGAAAATATTGATAGGGGTTAGGGATTTAGCTCAGCGGCATAAGCGCCTGCCTTGCAAGTGTGTGGTCGTGAGTTCGATCCCTGGTACCGATAAAAATGAAAAAGACAAAAAAAAAGAAAAAAAAATACTGATAGGCACTAAGAAAAGTGAGTTACTCAGGAGCCTGGCTCCCAGCGTGCTAGTTCTTTCTAAAATAGTGTTCTGTGCCTTCTTCCATACACACACTTACACGGCATTACTTCTATAAAAACAAGATGGTTTTAGTAAACTAGACCTTCACTTAATATACAAGCTAAGCTTCTACTACATCACTAAATGGTATTCTCCAAAAACAAAGCCACGAAGGATTTTCTTAGGTGGACACACCACTGCTAATGTAACAAATCGGTATGTCCCTGAAAGCCACTTTCCAAACTTCTGTAAGCTAAACTGCAGCTTGCACGTGCACCCATGTGTGCACCTCTGTGGGTGAGGTTCCCACGCACAGCCCTGCAGGAAGACTTCCCTCACACACGCATGCACGCAGCTTCCCAAGCTGAGTTGGCTCCAAGATACAGAGAGCTTAGAAATGAACCACGCTATTCTGCTCACCTGCTCATGGTGACAAAAGAGACAGGTGCTGGAGCCTGACAGAGCAGATCCCCGTAGGAGACCCCGCAGCCCTGGCCCTGTTCCCAGGTCTGTTTGCTGGTGGGAGGAGAAGGACCAGAGCTCCAACCAGCTCACTGCCCTCTTCCCACCCATGCTTCGAGATGCATCTCCTCTCCTCTCAGTCCCCAAGCACACTGCTGCTCTCTGTTGCTGCAGATCCTCTGTCCCCTTCTACCTGTGTATTCTCCTGGTATTTTGTGGAGGAATGGCTGTGTCAGAGGGCACCCCCAAGACCCTGGTCCTGGGCAGATACAGAACACCTGGGGGTTCTGAGATCTCAGTACCAACAGCTGCCTCTCCAAACCAGAAGTCCTCATCAAGTTAATTCCACTTATCTACAAGTCATGTCAGAAATGTGTTTAAATTTAAAAAAAAAATTATGGGTTGGAGGGTAGGGGAATGAGGGGGAAAAATTATATCATGTACAGGTACAAATTCTCTATGACAAACATGATCGTTATGTGTATCTAAAATGTACCAATAAAGTCTAATGTAAAAATAACTATTACAGTAAAGGATGCACTGCCATAAATCCTCTGGATGTCCGCTTACTTGCAACACACATCCCATTGTTCTGGCCACTTTCTGAAGCAGTTCTGCAAGTCCTCTTTCGTGAGTGTCTCTAGTTGCACTGTCCTGGTTGTCTCAATGTCCTGAAGACCTAAAACAGTTACCTGTCATGGTCATTTTGACTTTGGAGAAGACCCAGCAGTTGCACCCTGCCAGATCCAGTGAACAAGGACACACTCATGTTTTGGACAGCCTTCTTGTCTACTGGACAGCTCTCAGTATGAGGTGGCCTCCTCACACCTTGTGAGGAGACTCCTAAAACATCTGCTTCAGAAAGGAGCCGGCACGATGGGATAAGAGTGTTCAAAGCAAGGAGATGGTTTTGAGGTGGATTCATGATGATGGGTCTTTTACTGTAGTAATTTTTAAAACTTTAAACATTGACCATATTTTTTTTTTTTACCACCCCCTGTATTAGGCTCAGCTCTCAGAAGAGGCTGCCGGGTGACATTCCTCCTCCTACCTTCCTCCCCTGGTCCCATTTCCATAACGCAGCAGCCTGACAGTGCACACTTTCCTTGAACAGTTCCCTAAGCCTTCTTCACTCTCTACCCTAGTCCAAAAGGACCTCGGGGCTTTTTGGGTCCCACACTATCTCCACATCTTCTGATTCCTGGCCTCTTTCCCAGCTTGTCCAGCAAGTTCTGCTAGCAGGCAGGCGTTTCTATAACAAACTGAGAACAGAAAAAATAACTCTAAAGGACAATAAAGTTGCTAACATACTGGGTCAACAGCCGGCTGGTTTTCCCAGCGTTTCACCGTGGGACCCAGGGCTGGGATCTGAGAGAAAGCAAAGAAGGTAACAGGAAAATCTAGGACTCACGGCATGCAGTTCCCATTTGGTGGATGGCGGATTCACCCCCAAACAGGCAATCTTAGAAAGCTTCACCATCATGACAGAAAGGAAAAAAAAAAAAAAAAAAATGCAAGGAATAAACTTCCTATCACCATGAGGGGGAAAATGCCCAGACCTAAGCAAAAGAAATTTTAAGTTTCAGTCTCCAGCGCTGGGGTGCAGCTCAGTGGTAGAGCACTCACCTGGCTGGTGCAAACCCTGAATTCAAAGCCCACCCACAAAACCAACCAAAGGCTGATAGATAGGAGGGCGGAAGGTGAGGCGCGATGCCACTTACGGACATGAGGTGGCAGCACCGAGCCAGAGAAACAGCCAACCCCGTTCTTGGCAAAAATCCCAGCGGCCACCCCCACTTTCCAAAGCAGGAAGTTTGGGGTTTCTACCACTGCACATGAACACAGGGTAGCCTTTCCAAAATTCCTCGGTTTCCAGGCTCCAGACAGCTCCTGAGATATTTGGCCAACAGACTCCCACAGTGTTGTGTTAGCTTCTTTCGACTTTTTTCGTTAGCTTTCTTTGACTTTGCAGGGCGAGCCTGCGCCTTCCGAAGGCCGCTGGGGCTGCACCGAGGGACCTGCCACTTCCGTCCTGCTCCCCCACGCCGCTTTGCCCACGCGTCGAGTCTTTCCCCTGAATTCCACTTGAGAACCCATTTTATTATGCGTTTTATTTATAGTCCTCCTAAATCTTAATTTTTAAAAGCAGAAGAGAAAGACAGAAGGGAAACTGTCTTTTATTAAACGCCTGCCGGGCACCAGCTTTCACAGCTTGCATCTAATTTAATCCTCAGAACAACCTGAGATAAAAATAATGGTCTTTGATTTCTGATGAGGCCACAGGGTTGCAAAGGCGTCAGATTACAGGGCCGCAGGATTTAGGAACTAGCAGGCTTAGGTCTAAACTCACATCTCCGTGAGACCCAAGGTAACAATCCAGCCACAAATGCAGTGTGAGACCTCTCACAATAACTCAGTTCAGCACAATTTTCTCCCCTGTATCAGTGAACCTGATAGAAAAGAACGACCCCTGGCCCTGCCAGGTCCCGACTTCTGCTTCCCATGCATTTTCGTTCCACAGGGTTTTCCTCTCCTTTTGCATCTTGGCCTCCTTCCTATAAAATAAAGGCCAGTGCTTTCGCCTGACCAGTTCGCTGTTAATCATTTAGCGGTTCAGTCTGCAAAGACCTTTATACACACACTGCCCTGCAAGAGGGCCCAAAGGGATAAAGGGAAACGTCAGCCAGCTTTATACTGGGGCAGGTGGCAGGGAAGTGGGCGATGCAAGTGCCCATCAGGGCTCCAGACCACTGACCACTGCTCCTGTAAATCCACACACCCAGTCTGATACCAATACCATGATGGCACAATAAGCAACAAGCCTCAGGGACTCGGGCACTGACAAAGCACAGAGGTGGGTGGGAGGGAAAAGGGCTGACACTGGTCCCTGGAGCCACTTCCAGAGCCACTATGATTCTGCACCTGGTCGGCTTTACCCTGGCTTCTAGTCAGGCCTCTATCAGTTTCTCTCTGAGGAGCAAAGAACAGTTCATATTCCAGCCTTTGCAGAGTGTGCCCTATGGTCCTGTGCAGCCAAGAGGAATCAAAAACCTCCATCTCAGGGTAACAATAACAGTGTTTCACCAGGGAGCCCAATGTTGCTTTACAATTTTACAAGTGCTTCTCAACTTACAGAATTTCTTGCTTGTGCCCAAACTCACGCTAAAAGACTCTGTGGTGCAGAGCCTAGGGTTCTGCCTCTCCCCTACCACTGTCACCCATCAGAATATGTTCTTTGCTCCATGTCCAAAAAGGGCGAGGCTCAGAGAACAGCTCCTGATGTGCTAATGGGCCTTAATGAGGAGGTCTGCCATCAGTGAAGTCACCGGAATGGACAGGAAAGTAACACAAACCCACTCTGGGGTTCAGGGTTGCAGACTGCTATTTGTCATGTGCCAGTTGCTGCATAACTGCATGTCTCAGCATTTGCACACCTGTGCATGTGTTTGCACACAACAGTTTCTATCTCCCCCCACCCGGGGACACTGCAGCAAGCCGTGACATCACCAGTGGCACTTGTAAGACATGGGTGATAAGTCAAAGTGATTCATGACAGTACTAATGATTTTTTTTTTTTTTCTAAAAGGGAAGGAGGGTGAAGTTTGGAGCAAGATTCCAATTCGAAAAAGCTTGTGTGCCTGCTATACCTGTCTTCATGGATCAAAGTGAGCGGCACCAGCCTCTACCAAGGGCTTCTGCTCCCCCTCAGCTTTCTGTGTATTTTAAGATCTCCACTGGGCACCACTGACTAGAACCAGTTTCCATTTTTAGTTCTTGCTTATCCTTCTCAGTCTTTTATCAGAAAGCTACCATTTTTTTTTCCTTTAAAGCTATGTTTTTAACTTAAAACTTTTTTCAGTGGCATGTTTCAGACTCAACCAAAACCCAAAAAGGTAACAGCAAACCACATTTCTCATTTTAAAATGGAACTCCAGGGGCTGGGGATTTAGCTCAGCGGCATAAGCGCCTGCCTTGCAAGCAGGCAGTCGTGAGTTCAATCCCTGGTACCGATAAAAACGAGAAAGACAAAAAAAATAAATAAATAAAAAATAAAATGGAACTCCACTGCCCAAACAATTCACTTAGCGTTTCTTAGCTGGCATCTCTGCTGATAGATGGCAGGAACACTTGTGGGCTACTTATGGTTATAAGCAAGTGTGTTTGTCATCCTCCTGATTTGCAGGTCACCATGTGAACTGTGGCAGAAGCAAGTTGTCACATATCCTGTCATTGCAAACTGGTCATTCTCAAGACTTTCTTTCCCTCCTCGCAGGGTGCCTTCGCCAGGAAAAGTAAATACCTCACTAGGCACTAGGACCTTTTCTGCAGAGAGACAGAAGAAAACTTTCTCTGGCTCTGGTTAGAAACTCCAGCGATTACAACTAAGACTCTAAGAGAGAACTTCTGAATCTCTGAATAGTTGTCAAGTCCTCTTACCCTGTGTCAAAAATGGGTGTGATATGTACATAAGATTTTATAAAGCTTGAGTTACACAGCATTTAGCATGTTAGTGATTGGTATTTTACATCAACTAGCCAGACAGTGACAGTTTTGATTCCCAATTATTGTCTTTTGCTAGAGGCTTTTTTGGAAACCCGATTATACCACATCAGAACGTTAAGATCCCTGGCGAAATTTGAAGGACAGGCCAGCAGGACTGTAAGGGACCTGAAAGGATGGTCCACACTCGGGGCTGGCACCCACCCTCTCTCCAGCAAACCCTGTCCTGGAGCACCCATTGTCCTCTATTGGAGTAACAGCTGTAATGGGACTGCGAGGGAAAGAATACAGCCCCAAGTAACAGTGTTATTTTCATGTCCCAGCAGATGGACACAGAAATAGGCAACCTGATCCAGTCAGAGTGAATTCTCTCCCGCAAATAATAAGTGATCCTGATCAACAAACACCCTGTGGGTCTGATAGCACAAGGGTCCCTCTGTCAAGTAACAAAAACTGTCTCTGTCTGCGATGCAGCAGGAAAGCAAAGTGCTTGCACAGTTGTCCCCAGAAGCCAACGCACTTCCCTTCCTTCACACCTGCCTCCCCACTCGCTCTCAAAGCTCCCGTGACCTTTATCACCATCCTGCTTCACTTAGCCGTGGCAAACTACACAGTTCTGAGACACACAGGGAGGGCTCAGGGACCTAGGCCTATTTCTACTGCAGATCCCAAAGTGCTCCAAACTTTGTGAGCAGCTGCGTGATGCCCCAAGTGAGAAGTCCTACATCTGATATCATGAGAAAGGTCCCAGTAAAAACACAGGCATGTCACCGTACTGTATAAAATCATCTTCGGGCTCCAGGTAGGATAGGTATACGAGACATAGGCAAATTCTGGGTTCAGATTTGGGCTCCAGTCCCAAGGTATCTCACCATGCATACAAAAATGCAAAAAAATTCCAAACTACTATGTATGTTTGGTCCCCTGCATTTCAGATAAGGGCTACTGAATGTTTTCCTTAGACTGTGAGCCCTGTAGAGCAGATAGCAACTCAGCTTTATTCCACCCAGATTTATGATTTTAAACAGGTGATCTTCCCAGGGCCAGGAGAGGCCCAGAGGTGAGAAAAATGTGTTCTCAGAAAGAGCTGCTTTGTGAGCCAGGGGTGAGAAGTCAGGAGGAGTCTGAGCAGTATCGGACTCAGCTCTGAGGCAGTGTCTCCTGAACAGGCAGACAGTGATCCGAGGAGGCAGGGCCGAGTACCTCCACGCTCAGAGCTGCTGAGTGCGGGGAAGCCTTCCAGCGTGGTGTGTGTCATGCACAGGGCGGGGCGAGCATGCTTGCACACAGGGCTGGGGGAGGGGAGTGGTTAAACCTGCTTTAAACTGCTAAAGTAGCCTAGGCTGGGAGGTGGGTGCTGCCGACTTGGCATTCTCCCCAGAGCCAGGGCTGGGATGGGAGGCGGGGCAGCTGGGAGATCCAACAGATGCTTCCAGCAGCTTTCAGGGGAGGCTTGTAAAAGACCAGAACTTGCATTCAAGGAATGCCTGTAAGGAACTTGGGTTCCTCACTTGCATGCATGCCTTTGGGGGCTTTTCTTCTTCCCTGACCTCCCAGCCACTCAATAAAATATAAAGGGACACCATTACCCTAGTTTACAGCTGAGAAAACTGAGGTCCATCAAGGCCACTTATGTGGCCCAAATCGCAAATCTAGCGAGCAGCAGGCCTGATAGCTTTCTTGGCTCCTGCCTGGTCCAGTTCTTCCTTCTCTAGGAGACATGAGGGAGGGCTCAGAACTCTTGAGGGCAGGGGTCCTGCAGGAAGGCAGTGTGGGCCGAAGGGATCTACTGGAAGAGCTTCCAGGACCAACAACTGAAAGCTGACAACAAAAGGCTGCCAGCCCAAAAATATAAGCCAAGGACATGAACATTTTAGCAGTCAGGCCTTGGAAGGGAAAGTCCACACCATATGGGAACCCCAAGGTGCCAATCCTGAGACTTGACAAAAAGGGTTCCTTATGCTCCTGCTCCTGGGGGAAGGCAGAGGGACACAGGCTCTGCTCTGTAGCACTTTTTTATTTAAATGATTCAAGTAGAAACACAACATGGGACTTTACAGTCATTTAAACCAGCACCCGCATGCCCCACTGCCTCCGAACAGATGAGCACCGAGCACGAGGTGCACGGCAAAGCGGTTAAAGCGGAAAACGTGCCAGGAGCTCAGGCTGTCACTGTAGAGAGTTGCCACATTACTGGCAAGGGACAAGGCCAAACCAACAGGCAGAAGGCTGGAGGAGGGCGAAGGTCACCTGGTGACTCCGCTGCTGGAAGCACACAGAAGTGCCACTTCTTCCTTGCAGTGCATGATCATGGCACACAGGGCTGCAGGTGCCCAAGGAAAGTGTCACCCAGCTGGGGGTAGGGACAGGACAGACGGTGCAAACCTGGAGCCAAAGGAAATGGCTTTGTCTGGCTAGAAAGGGGGGCCCTGGCTACCACAGACCAAGCTTTCCATCAGGATGAGGGCTGCACCCCAGTTTGTCACCCTACTACCCTCTCCTTGAGAGTCCACTCTGCTGTCCTGAGTGGGAATGTTCACCAAGACCCTAAACTGGATCAACAGAATGGACACCCAAGTGTCCAGGAAAGACTGGGCAGAGGTACCCCACACAGGGCGAGAGCCAGGGACACAGCAGTCTGCAACTAGAGGGACAGTCAGTCACCTCCACCAAGGTGGCTGAGGACAACTGCCACCACCTCAGAGCCTCCGTTTCCACACCATAGCTAAGAAGATGAGAATCCAAGACCTTGCAGAGCCACAGTGTGGTTACTGCCAGCAAAGTGCCCCATGTCTCAAAGGAAGAGAGGTGGCTCTGTGTCCCACACACACACACTTCTGGATCGGAACCATAAGGAACTCCAAAGGCTTAGCAGCCATTGTTCAGACAACGTCTGGAAACTGAGGCTGTGCCAGGATATCCCACCGGAACCCATAACACAATGACCAACTCTAATGGGAACCCAGAAGTTGACCACAGGGGAACCACTAATTAACTGAAATCACGGTGCTGATTTTAGCAAGATGGGAGAACCAAGAAATCAGACCAACTACAGAGAGGCTGCTGGCCAGAATGAACCACCCCTGGGCGCAGTGCTCCAAGCTCAATGCTGAGCCAGGCAGCTTTGCCCCTGGAGACCAAACCAGTGACTGGTCCTGGTCACCTCACTTGCAGCTAGAGGGGTACCAGCCTGAGCTTCTCCTGATGCCTTCATCTCAGCCCTGGTGCCTCGCCCAGGGCTGCACAAGAACAAACCTCCCTTGAAGTGAACCATGAGCAGACTCAGCAGGCAGATCCAGCCCAGGCTGGTGCAGACCCACCAAAGTCCAGGCAAAGGGTGCTGCAGAATCCAACCCTTGCTGGAGCAATGCATATGGGCCCAGCTCTTGCAGCTGCACTGAGCAGAATGTTAACAAGCTGAAGGTTCAGAGCTGGGCACAGTGGCCCCCATCTGTAATTCCACCACTTGGGAAGCTGCAACAGGACGACCACTATGAGTTGAAGGCCAGTCATTGTAGCCTAAACTAGAGAGAGAGAAAGCTATAAAGGTTGAGACACCACTCTTAAAGAATCTGGAGCCCACACTACCAGTGCTTAAGCGTGAAAGCACTTAATGGGCTCACAGGGCAACATTCATGCGCTTGCCCTATGCAATGAGATGAACGAATGAGCATTTGCTTCTTTCAGAGAAATGCAAAAAACATTCAGCAGTCTGACACCGAGGCCTGGTAAAAGGCTGATATTTAGAATTAAGCTTGTAAAGCTGGGTAGATATCCATGTTAACTTTTTAAAAGGTTTTTTTTTGGACATAAGTTAAATACATTGATATAAGAAATCTTAAAAGTATACAAAAACAAAAAACAACTGAGTTCCTGAACCTTTGAAGGAGATGCTATGTTTCCCCCAAAGAAAAAAAGCAGAAAGTCAGCCTAAGAGATGGGAAGGTTCTCAGGAAAGATCACTTAAATACAAGGCAGAAAGTGTGCAAAACTGGGACAGGGCTGGCCACCAAGAAAGAGTCTGACTTGAGCCATACAGGACAGAGGTCATCTCAAGAATCTTCAGGACACAACATGTGTGGGTCTAAGGATGAATTCAAACGCTACACAGAGATGGAAAAACAGGCTGAGTGAGTGTCCCTCCCAGTCCTAGCTTCACATGTCCCATCTCAGATGGACAGAGTGATATTGATCAGGTTACCAGGGACAAAATGAATGTGTATCAGTCACAGAGGCAATGGCCCATAAGCATGAGTTTTGAGAGAAGTGAGAGAGGAAACTGGAGGCCCTGCCAGCCCTGGGAAAGACAATCAAGGACACCATATCAAGCCTTGCACCATCCTGGGCCAGCAGGGAGACAGTTGGACTTAGTTCAGGACCAGCAGAAGACTGGAATCTTTTGTTTCTTTGTTTTTGCGGTGCTGGGGGTGGAACCCAGGGCATTGCACATAGAAAGCGAGCGCTCTACCACTGAGTTACAACCCCAGCCCAAGACTAGAACCCTTTCAAGAAAAACCAGTGGGATGTTCTCAGGGAATAAAATCACATCTCACTACCTCATCAGAACTGCTACAGAATAAAGAGACAAGAACATGACACGAAGCCTTATATGGAATCCACAGCATTTCAAAGACTACGCTTGTTTCCAAATACTGATAACTCTCACAGCCTAAAGATTTATGTGTCTGTCACACTGCACATTTCATAGGATGTGTCTCATTTAGTACCCCACAAGTAAACCATGAGATAAGCACCATTATCACCCCCATCTCACAGACACGCAAACAGAGACTCAGGGAAGTTGAGAAATTTCCCGAAGCCACAGAAATACCAAGTGATAGATATGTCTGATCCAACAGCTCTAACTCTTTCTCCTGTACAGGCAGAGAAATCGTGACCGAAGCCAGGCTAGACTACGTGACCGCACGAGGTTCCCTGTTAGCAAAAACCTTGAGTTGAGCAGAGGTTAATGTGGCATTGGTGGTTGTGGCATGAAAGGGGAAATGGTTACAGTACGAAGCCTGGGCTTCTCCAGGATTGGGGGCTACAACTATTCTTATTTTACCCCTTCCATATGTCCCGAATCAAACACAAGGAAACCCTGTAGGTCACCAATGAGCTCAGCCTTCCCAGTGAAGTGACCATGGACAACATCCACCTCACTCTGTGACTCACTCCCCCTGTATGTAAGATGATAAAAATGTTGGTTCCTGTCCTGAAGGGCAGCCCGGGGCTGTAATGAGGCAATAAGGTGTTTTTTTTTTTTGTTTGTTTGTTTGTTTTTTTGTTTTTTTTTTTTTCCCCCAATAGTGTCTTGGTTTTAAAGAGTCATGAAGCTTCTCTTCTTAGAGATGCTAATCCCTAATGTATGAGAGAAGAAATAACAAGAAAGAAAATAAGGAGAAAATGTCCACTGGACACAGAAGAGAGCAGGATAAACAGTACCCTGAAACAATAGATACCAAATGCAGGGTGATGAAGAAACAAGGCTGTAGGTGAATTTCAGAGGAGAACGTGCACAAATGTGCAGGGGGGGGGCACAGTGCATGTTCACATCTCAGAAGCCTTGCAAAGGCTCTCTGCTGGCATCAGGCCTAGTCCAGAGAAATCTGTGTCACTGTGGGTCAGATGCCATTCTACTCTGGTCCCAAAGGCCAAAAGGACATTTCACCCAGCACCACTGCAAAAGTACAAATCCCACAGGGAAAAAAAAACCCCCACTGACCAGCCCCTGTAAACTCAGAAAATTGCCTACACTGCAAACAGTGGTTACTGCCCATCAAGAAAGAAGAGCTTCGAGGCCAGTAGACGGACACCCTGCACCTGCTGCATAACAGCAGGGTAAGCTAAGAAGACCACATCCCTCAGGCTGGAAAGGTCAAGGGCAAGTGGGCCCCGAAAGAAGCTATCAAGTAGATGAGGGGAGGGACCACTGACTCAGTTGCCAAATACTGAAGTGAGTTGGGGGGACTCTGCTAACATCTGCATGAGTCCAGAGGAGGAACTGCCTGCAAACTCCAAAGGCAGCGACCGAAGTGAATGTGAAGTGGACTCTATTGGGTAAGGACCACAGCTGTTCCCCTCCATTGCATGAGGACCTGAAAGCCTGGAACAGACAATCACTAAGGCCACAAAGGGCTCTACCTCCTCCCAGCTAGGGCTCCAGGGGAACCAACACACACCCAGCCTTGTGCTGTCTTGGCAGGGACAGTCACACCCTCCTTGGCCACACTCACTAAGTGCAAAGGACAGGCCCAGCGTGACTAACATGTATGCTTTCTAGGAGCTCTACAGAGAGCCAAAGACATCTGGATGCAAACATAAGATGGGCACACACCATTCTCTCCTCATGAACCACGCTCTGAACAACACTAAAATCCTTCCCTTTGGCTCAAGTGTCTACGAGATGCTTTCTGTTGTAAAAACGGCAAGAACACCTGCAGCTGGCCAGAGAAGTGGGCCAAGAATTTACCATCCAGAGTCCACCGTGGGGTGCTCACACTGCACCTCTTCCCCACACAAGTGTTGTCAACACACAGGCCAAAGTCCTGGAGGCAGGGAAGGGCCACATATAATCACTCCAGGACCCAGAAGGGGACTTCCCACCACCAGCCCTACTCACCTACCCGCACTAACTCAAGGACCTGCAAGGGGTACAGTGAGGGGAGCACACACCTCACACACTTTAAATCCTGCCCTTGTCTTCAACTGATCACTGTGTGAGCACATCTAAGCAAAGAAGGGAGCCTACGGTATGTCTCCATCAGAACACAGTTAGCTCAGCTACCCAGCCATTCCACTTTCTCAGCACCTGCCGAGAGAGAACTCCCAGGCCCTGCAGGCACCGAGTGCAACAATGTTTCTTGTAACAATCACTGTCAAAGAACAGAAATGACTCTGTGTCCACCAATGAGAGAAAGACAAAGTAACTGTTTCCCCTTCTACTTCTTAGGACAAGCAGGGATTAAACAAGATGAAGACCTATGAACACTGACAAGATGATACCCTCCCTGGCCAGGCACAGTGGTGCTCCCGGAGGCTGAGGCAGGAGGATTGCTGCAACTTCAAGGGCATAACTGGGCTACACAGCAAATTCAAGGCGAGCCTTAACTATATAGTTTGATTCTGTCTCAAAAACAAAACAAACACACAAAAAAGATAACTTGATGAGGTATATCTATGCCTTGACTTTCTGTAAGTCCCGGAGGCATAGATACAAGTATGCAAAACACTTGGAAAATACCAACAATCCCAGGACGGTGGTATACTGCTGGGAAAAGAACTGAGATAAGAGTGGTTGTCTTAAGATTTTTTTGCTTGCTCTGAAAGATTTACAGGGGTTTTTTTCCCTACAGAGAATATGTTTATGTATTACTTATGTATTAAAATTTTCATGTATTCACTTAATGAAAGACAGACAGACAGACAGACAGAAAGAAAGAAACCCTACTCAATGCATTTCAATGATAAGTTTAGGAGCAATTTTCTACCCAAATCTGGCCCGCCAGCCCTTGCAGGGAGACAGCTCAGCAGGGCAGATGTGGATCAGATTTCCCAGCTAGCAGCAGACTTTGCAGCTTGGATCTCATTTCAGTCTTACAAGTGCAGCTCTGTAACTCTGTGGATTGTTAAATTTATCTGCCAGTTCTAGGAAGAGGCAGGCAAAAAGAGAAACTATGTCACAGGGACTTCTGGTAATCCGCAGGGATGTCCTCGGAGCAATTCCAGCTCCTCCAAGGGAGCAGTGCAGCTCCCCACATGGTACACTAAAGCACACACGTAGGCACACAGGCGTGCACGCGTGCACGCACCAATCAGGCAGCTGGAGCCGGGCCACACCTCCACCCCAGGAGGACAGCGGGCTGTGCCCTCCATTCTTTTTTTTTTTTTTTTTTTTTTTTTTTTTTTTGGTCTTTTTCCTTTTCCTTTTTATCGGTACCGGGGATCGAACTCACGACTGCCTGCTTCCAAGGCAGGCGCTTATGCCGCTGAGCTAAACCCCCAGCCCCCCTCCATTCTTGCATCTGCAATTCGGGATTTCCAACATCAGTCTGGGTCCCTTGAGCAAATGAAAAGGATCTGAACTCTCATTAAACAAACACTAAAATATTATTATTTACATACTGGGGCCAGCCATGCCCCAGCCATGTAAACAGTTTTATTTATTAATTTATTTACTTCCTTACTTATTATGGTGCTGGGGATGGAACTCAAGGCCTCATCCTAGGCAAGCGCTGCACCTCCAGCTGGGGACACCGATTTTCAAACACACATACACACACACCCCTGATCTCTGCAAAGCACTACTTGCAGAGCCCTTGGAAAAACACATTTAGAGTATTAAGAGCCAGCTATGCAAAACTAACCTATAGTGATAGAAGTCAAGATTTGTGGTACTTCCAGATTTGAGGTAAGCATTACTTGGAAATGGTCACAGGAATATTTCTGGGGTGCTGAGTATTTTTGTCTCCCAAAGTATTTGTCGAAACTGACTAAATGGCACACTTAAGATCTGAGTGTTCCACTATCTGGAAAATATGCCCCAATGAGAAAAAGAGAAGAAAAGCCCACTCCAACAGCTTCTCTTCCACCACAGCAGAACTCTGATCTGCCCATTTGGACCTGGAACTCTTTTGTGCTGGGGAAGGTGCATGAGTTGCATGGCCACAATGGCCATAAAAACAGATCGCAAGATTTAAATGGATGGAGGACACATGAATTTAAGAAAAGAACACCAAGGGCAATTTGTGTTTTGCAACAGAATAAATATAAAAAGAGGAAAATGGGTTTTAATTCTTCAGTCACTGCAAGCAGCTGTTCTTACTAAAAGAATTTTATGCCCCCCCCCAATACTCAAAGGACAAAAAAGGCAGAAAACTGTTATTTTTTTATTGAGTTTGTTTTAAAGTCTAAGCTGGGTGTAGTAGGAAGTGTCTACAATCCCAGCACTCTGGGAGGCTCCGACAGGAGGGATCACAAGTTCTGGCCCAGCCTGAGCAACTTAATAATATGCTGAGACTATCTCAAAATGAAAAATTAAAAGGGCTAGCAATGCAGCTTAGTGAAAGCCTCTGGGTTCAGACTCCAGTACTGAAAGAAAAAAAAAGGACGTGGATCTAACTTTTCCCCACACCCAGGACGTGAGGTGCACAGCATAATTCTCAGAAGATCAGCACGCATTATGGATGGATGCGACAGACTCCAATGCAAGGAACGAAGGATGTGGACACCAAGGAGGACCACTGTCCACAAGTGTGCAAAGAGCTTCTGACCTACATCTAAAGCTACCCTGCTTTAGTCAGCATGCCCCAAATCTGCTTTACTCCGTGCGAAGACAGAGCAGTTCTCTGGCCAACTACTGATTTTTCCAATGCCAGAATACGAGCATGAAGTGCACAGAGGCAGAAATCTTCCTGTGATAATCTCAGAACACGAGAGGAACTCTATGCTCTCTGCAGAGCTCTCTAAGAAACACACGGCCTGAGCATAGTCCCTAACAAAGACTAAAGTAACTCAAAGACATCCAAAAGCAGTGTCTGCTCCATGTTCTCTTTCAGCTCTGACAAGTCCCACGGTAACTGCCCTTGAGAACTGGAAGACATCCTGGAGGCCAGCCTAAGTCCTGCTCCTCTTTCTGCGGCAACTCTATCAGCCTTAAGCAGTACTGGAATACCTCCAGCAAGGGGAAGCCCACTACTCAGCGGGAAGACAGGTCCACTGCTGGGCAGATCTGCCGACTGCAGAATCCCTTGGCAAGCTGAAAGGAAATTTGCCTGCCCAGATTGCAAGGTTCAAGGATACTTTAATGCCCTTCAATGTGAGGGCAGCTATTCTACAGACGAGGAATCTGAAGCCAAAGAAGATAATGCCATTGTTCCATCCATGGATCATGGTCCAACATGGAGAGCAAAAATGAACATGTGGGGCCAGGGATTTAGCTCAGCGGTGCAAGCACTTGCCCGGCAAGTACAAGGTCATGAGTTCAATTCCTGGTACCAAAAACAAAAAAGTGAACACGTGTGGTCCTCCCTACACCTGACTACCATGAAAGCATTTTAGAGGCACTACTGCAGACCCCCTCCACAAGCCCACACCGGTCACTCCTGAGTCTCCATCACCCTATCCTCCCTTGTGGATCAAGTCCTGATACTCAGGTGCCTTTGAAATCACCCCAGGAGTCCAGAGGTCATATGACCAAGGTCATTAAGACTGGATCCTGGGATTCTCCACTGGCTTTGATATTTGGAAAGCCTCAACCCACTGAGGACTCCACACTGAACTCATAAATGACAGGGAAAAAAACACAAGACTTTCCACCAGACAGCCTGGCCTTCCACAGTGGCCTGTGCCAGAGTCAGGTGCTGGGTGTTATTTTGTGAGCATGGTATCTATGCCAAAACTTGACACGGGGCAGGTAGGTACTCAACAATAATCTCCACATGAATCATCTACTCCATCCTGTCCTCAAACAACAAGACGTGTTTAAAGTAGCGGTATTTTCCCCAACTGGCAAATAATAAATTTAAAAGCATGAAAAAGAGAAAGTCACTTAGCTCAACCCATCTAGAAACAACGGAGGTTTGGTATTATTAGGACACTTCCTTCCAGTTATTTTCTAGGCATGTGTTTTAAATCTTTGGAATTAGATGGTAGGCACACTGTAACTTTTACCAGAAACATCCTCCCTGGTTATCTTTTAAATTGCTCCTAAATATTATTTTGCATAACTTCATAAACCTCCATTTTAAAGGCACATCCACTGGAATTCACCTATCCACTATCTCCAGCCCACACCAGTGGAAATATAGCTTGCTACCAATTTTTTACTAGAGTTTTTAAAAAATCTGAATGATGGTGCATCTATATTTCATGTTTTGCCTCGGCTACATCCCCAGAAGAATAATTATCTTATTAGACTATTTGGCCATCTTGAGATATCAGCTCAAATCTGTAAAACTAAACCACGCTTTATATCTATTCTTTACAGAAATGAGGGAAGGGGCTGTGAGCTACAACCCTAGTTAGCCCCATTTGTTTATTTATTTAGAGAAAGATGCTCACAGTTACCGAAGCAGGGCCGGAACTTACAATCCTCCTGCCTCAGTCTCCCAATTAGCTGGAATTACAGACATGCACCGCCACACCTGGTTCTTTTTCTTTTTAATTTGAGGTCCTCATTCTAGATGACTCTGATTTATCTACTAACTAAGCAGTCCTTCCCAGCTCTGTGCCTCCAAATAAGACAAACACATCTTCCTTATACTCAACCCAACGCAAGCCAAAATCAGAGCCCTGTGGTGCTCACTTTCTGACCTGCTCCCAGGCTGACACTGAGCCAGTAACTAACAGCTTTTGCAGAGGATCCCTAAATTAAACCAAGGCCACCACCCAGCCCCTAGTTTACTACTTATGATTTAACACGGACAAGTGTATCTTAAGAAACTGTGAACTACTTTACTAAAACTAAACATACCAGAGCTGCTGCATCATTCCCTTCTGGTTTAGTAAGCAAAACATCACATAAAACAGGAAATAGATTCAACTTGATATAATTCGGCTGACTTCTAGGTACCCTTGCATCCTATGGCCATATGCTTTTAAGAAAACTCCTAACTTGTATCTGTGTGTTATTTTTAAAAAAAGTAATCCTTTCGGTAAATTTTGTCCTACCTGTAAAAAGCAGGAAACGATTGGTCAGCCCCTGTCACCTGCAGCTCACCTGGAAGGAGCTCTGAATGGTGGGTAGTTAGGACTCCAGGAAAAGCCAGAGTGTTCTCAGCCATAAAGACTTCCCACACCAGCTGCCCCAAACACACCTACTCTTCTGTAGCCATATGCATTAATACCTGGGCTTGAGCCAGCTACTCTGCAGCCACTATGAACCTCTCCAGACTATGCACCCTTCCCCGCTGGGGCTCCCCCTTCTCCTTGGTCTTCTTTTATGGGCCCACAGAACCAAAGAATCTAATGTCGCAAGGCAACTGACAGCTGTGACTCACAACTCACCAACTCATAACCCCAACATCCCTTTCAGAGCGACATGCCAGGAGCCACGATCTAATCACACCAGCCAGAAGTAGAGTCAGGAGAGAACTTCAGATCACTGGAAGTCTACATCGCTTTCTAGATGACAAGGCAAAGCCTTCTCTAGTAAATACCATGCTGTTCATCATGAAAATATTTCCAAGGCCCAGCCAGCAGCTCTCCAGCAAGAGCTGCTCACTGGCCTAAAGCAAAGCATGGCGCTGGAATCCTCAGATTCCACAGTCTCTGGCTCCTGCCAGAATCCTTGGGGTGAAGAGGAGGGCACCCATGGCCTGCGACAGCAGCACACATTCTCCAGCATGGCATCCAAGACTTGAAAACTGAGGTCACAAAGCCAAATGCCGATGGGACACAGCGAGGAATGCCAAGCAACTGGACCCAGGCAGGCAAGAGAGGACGCTGGAATCATGCTTGGGAGCAGCAGGCCTGACCCTTTCCATAGGCAATGACCACCTCTCTGCTGGAAATGACGGTCAGATCTGACTCTTCTTAAAAAGCCACAAGTTTTTCGGATTATTCTTAATGTTTAAAAGCCTTTATGCTATCCAAACTGTAACAGCATAAAGGCTTGGAAATTTCTACAAATCCCTCCTTAATAAAGACCTATACTTCCTACCTCTCCAGTCTAATTTCCCCCTGCTCTATCACAAGAGTCCCATGTTCTTCACACCCACACGCACATGCTATGTTCACTCCTAACACCTAAATTGCACTCATGAGTTTCTCCCATGCGACATCTGATCTGAGACAGCCAAACTGTTCACCCCAGACTTCCTTCATCCCAAGAGTTTTTTCTATCTACACTGCACATATCATGATTCCTTTTCCCTTTTTTTTTTTTTTTTTTTTTTTTTTGTTACAGGGATTGAACTCACGCACTTATGTTACTGAACTAAATCCCTGGCTACCACCCCGTTTTCATACACTGCAGGCATTTGTTTTTCATTTTTGGCATTTAATCATCTCGCCCTGCTCCTTAATCCAAGCTGCGCCTTAAACCTCCAAAAAGACTGAACAGTTTCTATCTCTCATTTGTATCTTTCTACCTTCAGTACTGCAAAGGGTATGTTTGCACACGCACGACTTAATAAATGTTTACTGAATGTGAAAACTCTCTCTGCACTTTTCAAACTGTTCATGCATTGTGACCCACTATTTCATCAGAGAATAACTCCATGAACTTAGGAACAACAGCTGTTTTGACTTTTGGACAGGGTCTCCCTAAGTTGCTCAGGATGGCCTTGAACTTTCAATCCTGTCTCAACCTCCCTCCCAAGCATGTATTACCATGCCCAACTAACAAGTGCCCTTCTAATGAAAAAAAATAAAACAGACTCCCCCCAAAAATGTTCAGGAAGACGGGACCACGCAAAGGAGGTAGTCCTGCATGAACTGAAATTAGATTGTAACATAATGCTGTATGTACAGGGTCATAATGTAAATTTTATTTCTTAATGTAGGTCAGAGCCAGAACAGTACAGAAAACATTACTCTAGAATGAGTGAGCTCAACCAGTGTTCGCTCACATGCAATTATTTTTCATGCAGTCAGATATTTGCCATAATGAAAAAAAAATTCTGATCCACACCCCTGCAGGTCTCCTTCCCTAAGTCCTGTTCCCCTACCAGTGCACTGATCCTGCAGCTCAGAGAAACAAGGAGGCTAAGTCACTCTACATTCTCGGCTCATTCTGCAGCCTTCTGCAATCATCCTCCAAATTCAGATGTTGCAAGTTGAGGCTTGGGGAATTTGTTCAGCAAATCACCCTAAGTCAGCCGTGCAACAAGAAAGCACAATTCAGTGCTTAGCAAAAAAGCCCCGGATCCCTTCAGTGTGCAGGTCCCCAGACTCCTGGGAATTGGGCTAGGAAAAGCCAAGCCCTAGAGAAGTCAATATCCCCACTGACAAATCTCCACCCACCCCCTCTACCCTGCAGGAATGAAACCTGGGACTAGCCTGAAGATCCTGGTGGAGTCTAAAGTTCAACACACTTCAAAGTCCAACAATATACACCTTTAGCAAATCCTATGCTGCTTCTCTGCAACCTCCAACTGCATGCACCCTCATGCCTAGAAGAATAAATGGCCCCAGTTTCCCAGAAGCCCCGATTCTTCAGACTTGTTTCTCCAACTTCAAGGTCAAGACCAGGCAGTGTCATGTAAATGGCAGCAACACAAAGAGGTGAAAATGACAGGTGGTACATGCCTGTAATCCCAGCACTTGGAAGGCAGAGGCAGGAGGACTGCCATGAGTTCAAGGCCAGCCTGGGCTACACAGTTCCAGGCCAGCCTGAACTGCGGGATCCCAACCCTAACAAACAGACCTCCCAGGCCGGACATCCTCAGCTACCTCTCTGACCACCGAATGCCTGCTCTCTCTAACACTCTATCCCTGGGGTTCCCAAGAAGCCCGGTGCAGGACTTGCTGGCAGTGCACTTACACTTGGATATCCTGGCAAACACAGAAACTTCCACACAGCCTGAGTGTCAATTACTTCTCTACAAAACACACATTTCCGATTTCTCGAGTTGCCAGCTACAGTGGCTCTAAGACCCTGGCATATAATCAATTTCCACAAAGAATTAATTTCCATTCATCTCTTCCCTTCACCCTGGCCCTGTCAACAGAGTATGTCAATGGTAATGTCTCTAACACTCACCCTTTTTTCATTTCCAGTTAAATCAATGCAAACTCTGGGCACTCCTGGAGTGCAGCAGCTTACTAGCTGACCTGTCGCCTAACATTACTTTCAAAATCCTTTCCAAACACCCCTTCCTTGCAGTCCTCCCTGACCCTAAAACTTTTAATGTCTGCCAGGACACACAGACAGAACAGCAATTCCCCAGTCTGATTTTCTAGGACTTGCACAATCTCAACCACTGTTCTCTCCATCTACAGGAAACACGCAAGATGGCCAAGGTCATGCTCATGGTCACTCTGTCGCCATCTCGAGGGTCTCCGAGAGCGCCCTCCTCTAACCTGCAACAGCACCTGTGTCTCCACCTGCCCACCACACAGTTCATGTGTCTTAGCTGGAGGTCTTATTCCGAACTGCCTGTCTTCCTGTGCTATGCACAAGATGACAAGTCCCAAGGCCAAGGATCAAACCCAGGCTTTGCACATGCCAGGCAAGTATGGCACCACTGCTGTGCTACATGCCAGCTTCATTTATCTTCTGTATCCTCCCTCCTCCATAACTGCTCCTCTGATCCTCCTTTCTTGGCCCTTTCTACCTGCTACTCCTGTGGACTCTGGGTCTTGCCACGGAGTCATCCTCCACAGGCACACCTTCCTCCAAAACTAGGCCGCCTGCCCCAACTCGGACTTTTCCTCTCTCTGCTGTGGCTCCTGGCCTTCACCAACTCGGGAAGCCATGGCTCATGCATCTGAAGTTGAGCTCTTAAAGTCATTTCCACCTAGCAGACTAGGCTTCCTGGGGCCTTAGATTTCTTAGGTACCTCTTGACATCTCCCAGGAAGCCGGGGGTCCTGCTGAGAACACAGCAGCTCCCAGAAGGACCTGTGGAGTCCAACACAACTGCTCTGTCTCAAGGCTCCTCAGGCTCTGTTTACACAACACCTGGGGATAGTGTCCCAGACCTCCAATACCTGTTGAAGCAAACTGTCCCAGTCACACCTTCCTGCACAGCCCGTGTGAAGAAAGCAGTGAGGGCCTGCAGATACCCAGCTCCTGCCCAGCTGCACCGCAGGAGTGCTAGAGCCTGGGGAGTCTCCAGAGCCCCAGAACCAGCCAGCCGGGCTGCCAACAAACAGGAGGCGTGGCAACAAACAGGAGGCGTGGCGGTGCCCACCACCTGGCAGGTGGGCTCCTTTAGATCTCTCCACCAGCCTCAATGGAAGGCACAGATCTAAACTCCGAGGCAGGGAAGGAAACGCTGCCTCTGAAATTGTTTGCACATGCCAAACTCCCCGTCCAGGCCCCCACCCGGGAACCCCCGATGCCCAAAGTGCCACCGCCTGGCAAGGCCGCCTGGCCTAGCACATGGGGTGAGGGGAGCCAGGCCCAAGTCACCGGGCCAGAGTAGTGGCCAAAGCGGGCTTGAGAGAGGGTGCGGGGCGACCCGCCAGGAGGAGGGTGTGTCGCGGAGTGGACAGGCGCGAGCGGGGCGTCCGGCCGGAAAGGGTCCGGGAAGGGGCATGGAAGGGCCGGGCTCCCCGTGCAGGGTCCTTCGGAGAGGCGACTGCCAACCTCCGCTCAAAGTTGGGAGGGTCCTAGGTCGGGAGCGCAGGCGCCCGCGAGATAAACAAGGCGGCGCGGGAGACGACAGGCGGCCCCCACGGCCCCCACCCCTCGGCCACCCGGCCGGCGCGGCCACTGCCACAGAGCCCCCCGCGCCCCGCCCCCGGCCCCCCAGGACCCCCGGCCCCGGCCCCCCGCGGGCGCGCACCGCACTGGAAGCGCTCGGCACCCCCAAGCCCGGCTGCAGCGCCGCGGCCCGCGCAGCTCACCTCCCCGCGCTCCGCTCCGGCTGCAGCTGGCGCCGCCCCTCCCGCCCCGCCCCGCGCCCCCCGCCCCCCGACGCGGCCCGCTCGCTCTCTCCGGCCGCCCGCCCTCCGCCGGCTCCGTTCGCGCCCACCTGGCCGGCCTCCCTCCCTCCCTACCCGGGACACAGCGCTCACGTACGCGGCCGCGGCCACAACCCGGCCCGGATCGCGGGCCCGGGAAGGGAGCGGCTTGCCGCCAGCCCGGATCGGGGGCACGCCCCCTGCCTCCCTTCCTCCCCGCTCCCTCCTCCTCCGTCCCTTTCCCCCACCTCTGCCCTCCCTCCACCGCCCCAGGCGCGCGCCCACCCTGACCCCGCACCCCACCTCCGCGCGCCCGGTAGGCGCACCCCGGGTAGACAGTTGGCACTCAATAAGTGCCCAGGCCCCTCCGGGCACATGCGCACTTGAACCTGACCGAGTGGTAACACCCCCCCCCCAGCCTCCGCCCCCAATTCGGAACCGGCAGCTGCAGCCCCGAACCAAACTTGAGGGTGTGCATTTCTTTTTTTTCTTTCTTTTTTTTTTTTTTTTTCACAGAGCTGCTGCAAACCCTGCCAAAGTTTCTCGCTGTTGTTTTTCCAGGTCTGGCTCAGGGATAGGCTTCTCCAAGAGAGGCCAAGCTTGCCCCAGGGCGGGAAAGGAAGCCAGAAAACTGCGGGCTGGCTGGCGTGGGGGACCAGAGCTTGGAGCAGGCAATAGGGACCTGAGGCCTCGGTAGCAGCTCGGCACAGCGCAGCGGGAGGGAGGAAAACCAACCTTTCCATTTGCTTCTGAGTGTTCTCTTCTCACTTTATGACATCTCCCTGGTTTGTAGTTATAAGGCAAGGCGTTATTTACCGATTCTGGAATTAAATGGGAGAAAGTTAACAATTAGCCTTCAACCTTTATGTAAACAATACTGGTTGCTTTTGGCACCATCAGGCCCTGGCTTTTGGATAATTTGTAACAAGCAGAATTGAAGCCCTTCCATTGTGTTGCTCTGTTTTTTCTAGATAAGACCAGAGCCTCAACTGTAGTACAGGAACCAGGGTGTCTATTTTGAGGGCACACTGTATATATTTATATTGTGAATTTAATGAATACAAGAGTAATCATCACCTCCCCACCCAAAAGAAGTTTAAAAATATTTTGCGACCTGATTTTTGAAACCACAGGACAATTTCAGGCCTGCTGCTTCTTCAGCAAAGGCAAACCCGCTTAACTGCTAACCGGGCTGCGTGACCTTCAGCAGGGCCTTCAAGTTGGGACATCAGCCTCTTTATCTGGAAGATGAAATAAAATCGTGCAGAGATGGTGCCTTGCAAATCAGCTCGAACTGTTTCCCACAATGTGCCAAATAAGAAAATTACCCGAACCAAAATTCCTAGAGGATGCGGGTTTTCAACTGGGGCTGATTTTGCTCTCAGGGCACACTTAGCAATGTTTGGGGACATTTTTGATTGTCACAACTGCTAGGAAATGCCGCCTACTGGATTTAGGTTGACAGAGCCTAGGATGCTACTAAACTTCCTTAGGGAACAAGGCAGCCCCCAAGGGCAAAGAGTGGCCTGGTCTAAAAGGTCAGTAGCGCCCCTCTCTGACTTGTCCGGCCCAAGGAAGACTCTGCTCTGGAGTAATTCGTGAAAACCTCCCGCTACCTTTCAACTGTCATCCTAAAGGAAAGAGCTCTGTTTTTCATTAAGAGGAACAAGTTGTGGGACCGTACCAGTTCCATTAATACGCAAAGCTCCTCCTTCCCAGAAATGGCAGGTTGGGATTCTAGATTTTATTATGAAAGGAATAAATCCCATCCATTCAGTTTCATGTCCATGTTTCCATTTGTTCTCAAACTCTGCTGCATAGGCCCTGTCCTGAGGGTCACACACCCACCCAGCAGGGTGGGTCCTTGCAACAATTAAGGAACAATAACAAATAACACTAAGCTTTAACTGCAGCACCCAGGTTAAGGTGGCTGGTGGGAAGGAAACTGAGTCCCTAAAACAAAGCCCAGGTCTTGCCTGTGGGCTGAGATGTTCAGGAAATGTTTGTTGAATGAAATAGAATGGGGAAAGTTTTAGACTTTGAAGTAGGGCTCCGGCTCAGCTCCATCACAGGATATAAACCTCTTGATTTTCTAAACAGATATTGGTGTCTGGCTGTGAATTTATTTTTCTTAAAACGTCTAGTGCAAACTTTTAACCAAAGCTATACATTTCCTAAAATGACTAATAAAACCAAAATGCTTACATGCGTGCCTGCCCTGTGCTGAATGAGCCCAGAGCCTCTCCTGTCCCCAGCAGCCCCAGTAGCTTGTTCACTCTGAGATGCAGTCTGGGCAACCCCAGCCACGCAAGGCATATGTTCACAGCATAGGCTGGATGCAAATCCCTTTCCTGCAGGTAGGTACTTGCATGGCGTGCATTCCAGAGCTCTGCACCTCCACACTGAGTCGGGGAGAACATGGAATCACACACATCCACCCCACAAGCACACGCGGCAAGCAGTCAGCTGCGTGATGTGGAATCCGGGCCCTTCCTGAACTCACACTGCTCAGCACACGCCTTACACGCTTCAGAGCCTCACTGTTGGCTTCCACTCCTGTGCCTGATACATCCCTCCCCCACAACTACCATTTGCTCTACCCCAGGGTGCATCCCATTCAGAACCACCCCCAACCCTGCTTTCTCCCACATCCTACCCCCCACACACCATTAAGGTCTTGGCGTCTTTTCCCTCATCTCCATCAAAGGAATTGGCTCTCTGGGGAGTATCTGCCACTAGTGGAGGTTAAGCAAAACAGACCAGGGCCCTGCCTCATATTATGTGGACACATCCCTAGCTCACTAGTAGGGTGCTGAGTCTGAGACTGCCCCTCCCTCTCTCCTTCACCTGTGCAGACTCCCTGTGCTCCAGTGCTGCTGCCTCTCCTAGAACTCGCCCCATGCCCCCTTTCACCCCTTCACCCAGCTCCCCTTACTCACCCGTAGCATGTTCTCAGAGAAGCTCTTTCTGGCCCCACGAAGGGTAGCCATGCCCCTCCTTTGTGTCCAACAGCATCCACATCTTACCCCTGAATCGTTGTACTAACATCTCCATTCTCTTGGCCTTATCCCCTAGGAAACATTTTGTGAAGACAGCCACTGTGGCCTGTTCTTCACTGTATGTGTATCCAATGCTTGCCGTCTGGCAGGGCTTGCAGGAGGCCCTTCACAAGGGTTTCTTAAGGATGGGTCTCTGGCTGGACCTAGGGACACAGTAGAGATATTCCATAGTTATGGTGATCCCTGACGCAGAGCATGTCCTGATGTTCCACAGGTCCCACGGCTCCTGAAGACCATCTCTGGAGAGCAAGATGAAACTTAAAAATGAGTGGAGTCTTTGGGTTCCACCTGAGCCCCCACTTATAAACGTCTCCTGTTTTCCTGAACTGCAGGTTCTTATAACCAGTTACCACTTTGGCACCTCCACTTGGATGTCTAATCAGATCTCAAGTGAGTTGTGAGCCAGACATGGTAGCACATGCCTTTAATCTCAGCACTTGACAGGCTGAGGCAGGAGGCGCACCTGTTTCAGGCCAACCTGGGCTCCATAGTGAAATTCTAACTCAAACAAAACAAAACAAATCAAAAACTACCATCTCCAAATCCATTTCTCTTGCCCCTCCAAAATCTGTTCCCTTTCATTTAAGTAAATAAGAGTCCTATTCTCCTACTTGCTCAGAAAAGAGGTTGAAATCGTATCTAGTTCTTTTTTCTTTCTCACACACCACAACTCATCAAGAAACTCTGTTGGCTCACCTATGCGCTACCTGAGTAATGCCCCACCATTGCCTAATTCAGCCACCGTCTCGCCTACCCGGCCTCCTGCAGCAGGCTCCTGTTTCCTGCTGTTGCTGGCACCCAGCTATAAACTGTTCAACTCTCAGCAGCCAGAGCAATTATTTTAAAACCTGCATCACACCACACACTCGTCTGCTCAAAAATTCCAGCAGCTTCCCATCTACTTGATCTTGGCTTAAATAACTCTCAGATTCCCCCACCTGCCACTCCTCCCTGGAGCCTGCTGCTCCAGGCTGATGAGCCCCTGCCTGGACCACAGATCCACTCCCAACTCTGTCTTCCAAGATCACTCCTTTGGGCCACAAGACCTGCCCCAGCACTGGCTGCATCACTCAATGTGGGTCCCTCCTCAAATGTGTCTAGGAGAGACACAGTCCCTGTCCAATGTGTCCACAGTAACGTCCCCCAACTGCACCTTCATCCACCTTTTCTTCCTTATGCTTAGCACCAGACAATCTTTTCCTTGTCAGGAATTTTGCTTCTTCCATGCTTATTTGGCTGTAAGTTCAATGAGAACAGGGACTTAGTTGTCCCTTACTGTTATACTGTCAGCTTCTAGAACATTGTCTAGGCCCGGGGATATACCTCAATGGCACAGTTATCTGCCTGGCAAGCATAAGGTTCTGAGTTCAATTCCCAGGACCAAGAAACAAACAAACAAACAAAAAAGAGCATTGTCATTGTCTAGCTGCTAGCATACAAAAGGCAGTAAATAACTATGAATCAAGGGCTCTAATTAGATAACTGTCTTAGTCACTTTCTTTGTCACTGGAACAAAATACCCAACACCCAAAACTTAAAGAAGGAGAAGTTTATTTTGGCTCACAGTTTGTAGAGGTTTCAATCCATATCTAACTTAATCCAAGGCAGAACAGCATGGTGGGAGGGCCTCAGCAGAGGAGAGCTGCTCACCTCATGGCGGCCAGGATGCAGTCATTGGAGGAATCAAGAGGGAGACAAACCCTTCCAGACCGTGCCC